TCCTTTCATTCATTCATTCATTCATTCATTCATTCTATTTTTATCTTACACTTCCCCTCCAAAACCTTAATCCCCCCCATCCAACCTAGTCCACTCTCCCCATCTCTCCATCTCTCCATCTCTCCATCTCTCCATCTATACTATACACTCACGCAATCTATCGCCCCCTTGCCATATGATTCCAATTCCCATTCCAACCCCCCACGTCCCCCACCCAAGTCAAACCCCCACCCCCAGAAAAAGAACCCGAAAAAAAAAGAAGAGTATCCATTATAAAAATCCCCTCCCCCCAAAAAGACCCACCGTTCGCCTTCCATATCATATGCATCTATCCCAACCAAAAACCAGACCACCTGGAAAAAAGAACTCAGAAAGGAATCTCGGCAAAGGAGAAGAAGAAGAAAACGAAGAAATTTCAAGTCTCTCTTTTTCTTTTTCCATATACAAATATAATAAACAGACACAAAAAAAAAGGGTCTCATTCACCCTTTTTTTCCAAAAATAGAGAATGAAAATGAAAAAACCCCCACCCTGCCCCAAAGAATGCTGCTCATGATAATTCAAAGGAAAAAAGCTCTTAAGGTCACCTCGGCAGTGGAGATGCCTTCCTCGATAACGACCTCCTCTCATCGATCGTCCCTTGCTCCCTTAAACTCTTCTTACTGGCATTATTCCCATTCCCATTCGCGTATACCCTCCCATTCGGCGTTCGCGGCGGTGGCGCATCCTCGTCACTCTCCGAGGCCAGATCCGTGAGCCCAAAGCCCGTATTCTCTTCCTCATCATAAGCCCGGATGAGCCCCTCGCGATCACTTCGTCCGTACGAGTGGAGCGAGCTACGTGGGTCCATACTTCGTCGTAGTTGCATACTTCGTCTCGTTTGCAGTCCGGAGATGGGATCCGTGCCGATTCCATCTTGCAAGTGTCCGTTGATTAATTTGTCCCCGTTGGGATCCCCACGAGAAAGGTTGAGAAGGTACACGCCTGTGAAGATGACCAGAAACCCGCTTAGTAGAGAGAGAGTATTGACTGCATCTGACGTGTTAAATCCTCCGTATAGAATAAAGGACGCACATAGCGTCGCTGTGGTAAATGTAACGTAATACAACGGATTGACTCTGTTAAAAAGTGTCAACGAAGCTCGACCATCCAAGATTCGAGTTTTCTTACATGGAAGTGGGGAATTGGCTCAGTGCCTTGTTGAAATAATTCATCTGAGTCAGAATGCAAACAGCTACTAAGATGATGAATACATAGGTCGAAGGGTGGGTAAACTGATTGTTGCCGGCGAATGTTAATTTAACCGCAATACCAAATGCCTTGACGGACATGACTGATACCGATCCAACCGTGGAACAAATCGACAGATAAATCAGAGGGTTTTTCTTTCCGTATTTTGGCGCGACTCGATATATCATAACGACGGAAAAAACGGCGACAAATGCGCAGAATAAGAGAAATCCTTGTCACTCGTTAGCGTATGCAGACTTTTAAAAGGTTTCTGCTTCCTACCTGGTTGAATTGCATAATTGAGAATCTCGTCAATAGTCTCGATTTCCTGATCCGGCGGGGCATGCAAGACTATTATGACGGACCCAATCAAGCAGATGGCGCATCCCAGCTTCCCCAATGTTCCCAGCTCCTCTTTTAGGAAATACGAGCCTAAGACAGCACCAATTAAAACACTCAAGGCTCCAAGGGGGGTAACTAGAATCGCTGGCGCAAATGCGTATGCTGCAAAATTGGCGATTTCTCCAATAATGACTATCTCAGCAGTTAGCCATTGCCCTGCAAAGAGAAACGTCTTGGGTCTGCGTACGGGCTATGATTCCGGCCCACCATATGGGGCTTTTCAGATATGTAAATCCATCGCCTTCAAATCCATGCCTCTCTTCTGCATCCATAAGACCCTGGGCTTTTGTTAGTAATCGGAGATGATGGTGGTCGTATTCGTGGGCTCAAGATGTGCTCGGCGATCTCGTACCTTTTTCGTAATCACAAAACTTGTTCCTGCAGGGGAAAATCCGATGTCAGCATCTGGCTATCAATTAGGAATACGCGACTCCTCATACCTATAGCGAGCGTCGAGGTGATGGCCAAAGCCAACCCTATGTATCTGTTCCCGGATGTCAGCCAATGTCCTACCTACCCACTGGACGCAATGTTTAAGGCGCATTTGACGACTACGTACTTGTCTTCCAGCATCATTACTCTGGCGGTAGAGTAGCTCCTCCTATCCACTCCAATGTCTAATTGTCCTGGAGTTGCGCCCGTGTTGTCGCAACCCTTGATGACGGAATTCAATGCTCGCGAATTAGACGCCTGCGCGATGCTTTTCCCGTCTGCTAAGGGACCCAAGTAAATCAATATATGATGGGCGTATGATTCGTAAAGACCGTCTTTAGTTGGGATTTCGCGGGTAGTGGTAGCACACTTATTTCCTGGGCGCGCAATGTGGGAATGCCCTCGTCGTTATGGTCGTCGCAAAGTGATTGTCCCGTAAATGGAGGTTAAGTTCAAGACCCTGGAGCGGGAGGTAGTCGCGGTCGGTCGCGATGATCTGTTATCGTCGATTTATCAGAAGAGCCGCAGAGGAGGTGTTATAGCCGCATCAGCAGCAGACCAAGGCGATGCGCAAACGAGCGGCTGATTCGAGTCGTGAGTGGAGCGATGTGCTTGTCGAGAAAAAGACACGATGGTGTTGTGGGAAGATCTGGGTTTGATTTCGTTGGTACAAGTACTGAATCTGCGTCGTGGGTGGTAGTGTGCAGTCGTGGCGTTTAGTGACCGTTGCAGTGACAGTGGTGCTGTCTGTACGAGTAGCCCAGGGACAGGTTTGAGTTGGGTGTGGGTGGAAAGTGGGCAGGACTGAAGACCAGCAGTGGACTGTGGGAGAAGAGATGATGTGTTTAGGCGGGTTAGGATGGTTCGGGTCGGTGCTCTGGGCGCTTTCTTGGGTGCTGAGCTCTTCTCGCTGGGCAAGGAGCTGAGAGGTAGTCGTCGCGGTAGGATAGGCGTCTAATAGGCGTAGGCGTAGGCTGTTGCGTGCGAGGAGCAGAAATGTGAAACGTTGATACGGTGTTTCCACTCACCCACGAACTTCAGGGCTCTGGCCTTGTCTCGCAACAGCTGCGGTCTGCCCCAGTAAAATCACCGTCACCCCCTCGTTCTTGCAGGCCCAGGGCAGGTCCAGTTATTTTTAGCTTGGAGCCTTGGAAGCCCCATTCTGCCATCCTGACACGCTGAGGTCGAGTCCTGCACTCCAGCTGCGCCCCTGCCCTACCTACGCCATCCCAACTCTGATTTCTCGGAATTTACGAGCACAAGTACTACTGGTACCTACAATTCAAATACACACCCTTATAGAACTCGAGACGGACAACATGTTCACTTCACATTCACACTTTCTACATCGCATTGATTTGGATCGTGGTCACGGATTGCATTGATTAGAAGATACTTTCCATGAATCCATCTACCCCAATGACTAAGTAGTATGGGCAGACCTGCCAATCCACGTCTCTCAAGAAAATCCGAAAAGAAATGCCTTTTCTCGCCAACCACTTCGGAATTGTACATAAATCAACATCTTCTTTCGCCAATAAACGCCAGCCCCCCTTTGAAATGAAGTGCGAAGATCGGTTCACGGGAATCCCTAAACAAGAACGCCCTGTCCATCCAGTCCTCCGCTTCCTGCCATAAATGCCTTTTGAGAAAAAGAAAAGCCGCCATAAGATGTTGCGTTCACCAGTCCCTAGAATTGTTTTCGAAAGAAGTTGGGGCAAATAGTTATACGAAGGGGGGGAGTGCAGCAAGGGAGAAAACAAACTGGGTCGGGATGGTGTCAGTGTACCTGTCAGACCTACCGTCCATATTTTCTAGTTCACAAGATTAGTAGTCGTAGATTGTCAGAGCGGTATCCAAGGGGTATCCAGTGTCGAAACAGAACGCCATGGTCCGCTCAAAGATTATAGAATACTGGTCGTGTGGAAATGGGATGGGGTGTGCGAAGAGAGGATCGACCTGCCGTTTCGTGCGTGACAACGGAAAGCTAGACGAAAATGAGGCGAGAAGAGACAGAAGCTTGCAAGGTAGAGTGACCAGCCCTAGGCGGAGATAGTTACGATTTGGATCGTTTGTTCTCTGCAACCCCGTTAGCAAGTATATCGTATTATTTGTGGAACAAAGGTACACACCATTCGCCCCTGAAGCAGTAATCTCATCGACTTCTACTTCAGAGATAGATCTCTTCATAGAACCATTCGGTGTTGTAGGAATGGCAGCTTGGGCTTTCGTCACATTCACGTTCTCGTTATCTTCATCGTCTTCATAGTCAATCTCGTCTTCGTCTGCCAATGGGACCGCAGCATCCAGTCCGTGCAGAGACTCGTTGGCGTCCGCAGTTTCGTCGTCTAGGTCGAAATCGGCGAAATCATCCTCTTGGTGTGGCTCGTCGGCACTCACGGTAGCACTTGACTCGACCGCTTCGTCAAAATCAAGAAGAACGGTGGTGACATCAATTGTCTCTTTGCTTTCGTGTGGTCCGGTATACTCTTCATCATCAAAATCTACTCCATCGAACTCTACAGCATCAGCATTATGGCTGGTTGCAGCGTCGGGGTCAAACTGATCGTCAAAGTTGTACAAGTGCTCTTGTTGCTCTTGGTGCGTAGCCTCTTGATTGTCAACCTGGTGAGCTGAGTCTGCTGGTTTGACGTGGACGAGATATTGTCCATCGACAGGCTCGTCTTCATACTTCTCCTTTTCAGGCTCTAGGCCGACATCATCTGCACTCAAGATATCTTGACCGTTAGGCATAGTCTCATAGTCGATCTCATCAAGGTCCTCGGCTTCGGCATGGATCTCATCTTTTGGAATATGTTGAGCTTCGTCGTTCTCGGGTTGCGAAGCACTCTTCACTTCAGCCGTGCGAGATGATGATCGTCGGCGCTCGAGTTCCTGGTTAACCGCTTCGTATTGTTGGACTATAAGGATCATGCATTTAGAACAGAAACAATAATCAGGTTTGAGACATGGAGAGGATAGATCGGAATAAGTACCGGTCTGTGCTTGATTTTCGGCATCATGATTATGATTCTCCAATTTAGGTGCACTCGTGCGATCACTTTTGTTCGGTTCCTCAGTCTCTTCATCTGAATAGTCAATTAAATCGTCTTCATCGCCAGCGCTTCTCGCGGTCTCTTCCTCTGTGTGGACTGCGTCAGACTGCTTAGAGGTGCTGGTGTTGGAGACAGGTTCGTCGACTCCAGTGTGATGATTCGATGTGGTGATATCGTCTGCTTCCCCTGTTTCCTGGAGGTGGTCTTCGACATCATTCCACGATATAGGCACTTCGTCAGCCTGAAGCGACTGAGGAGGTTGGTTGTCTTCTGTTTGGTTATTGTAGGATCCATCATCCAGAATGTCAGATGTTTTCAGATTTGCTTCTTCCTCTCCCATTTCACCTCCGGCATCGAGTTCACCATCGAATACCGCGTGCTCAGCGCTAGCAGCAAGATCTTCCTGGCTAGCGCTCTCGTCACGAAATATCATTACCTTAGACAAACCCTTACCATCGATAGCGCTGGATTTGCAGACCTCATATCGCTTTGAAAAGTTCGCCCTAGCACGTAGAGTCACGTACAAGGGTCGGGCCTCATCCATGTCATTCTCAAGTAGCTTGGTAAACACATCGATAATTTGGCCAAAGGTATATTTCGGAAGGTGTGTGGATGTCTGGTACTGATGTTAGTAGCAAAACAAGCAGATGACACTTTGCAAACTCACCTCTTCAATTTCTAGCCCGAGATCCTCTATGGCCATACATAACTCATCTTCATCCTCGAGTTCTCCATGGATAACATCACGGATAGCTTGCAGGAATTCGCCAAGCGTTTGTTCAAGAATACTTGGGTCAGAAAGAAAGAAAGTATCTGGGTTATCAGACTCGGACTTTGGGAATAAAGAGTACTCGACAGAGCGCCAGACAACAACAACTTCAAGTGCTAAAACCAGTGTACTCTCTGGAAACAGCTCCTCATGGTCATTGCTTTGGTCTTGGGACAATTGTGTCTGGGTAGTATCTGTGGTATTGAGGGCAGAAGCTTGAGGGGATCTTGTTGTTTCATTTTCCACCAGCTCATTTCCATGGCCAACTTCATCCTCGATTGGTAGTTCCAGCGTCTCCTCTCGGTGGGAGATCGTGGTGGTATCGTGTGGCGACACGGTCGGATTTGATGTCTCTGTGTTAAGGTCTTGCGAGTCTTTAAGGTCAGTGCTAAGTTCGGGTAAAATAGCCTGCTCCGCTGCGATATCAGATTCAGAGTTGTCACCCAGCTCAAGCGCATCAGATATAGCGTTGACGGGGCTCGTAGCCGAGTTCGCTTGAACAGACTCGCTGGTCGATTCAAGGGGCAACGAAAACCCATGAGTATCAGAACCGGCTTCTTGCTCGCTATGAGGGGGACCAGATTCCAGACTCGTAATATTGTGGTTTTCTGTGTGGATGTCAAGCGGTAGCCCGGTAGCTGTATTTGAGGGATCTTGAGCTGTTTCCTCAACCAGATCCTCGATAACTGTCTCAAAGATTGAAGCAGGCGCGCCGTCAATCATTAAATCTAGGGGTCTATCATGATGATCGTCCATCTCATCGCCGAACGAGATATCATCGCCCATTAGCTCGTCGGGGGCCATCAAAAGGTCCTCATCATTATTACTGTCTTCGAAACCAATATTCATTGGTGTATCATCGACCATGTAGTCTTCGCCGCCGTCACTATCCACAGCAGTGAACTCGATGTCAATATCAATATCGTCGATGTTCTGGCCATGGTCGGAAGATATCTCCATATTATCGTCAGCCATGTTAGGCAGGAGAGAGTGTTCGAAATGAGGGGCAAGCATGTGGAGCTTGGATGTTGGTTCTTGATGATCAAATGTCTCCAGTAGTAGGTACCAGCTAATGAAGCATTGCCGTGGTCGTGCGCAGTGGGTGGAAATCGGTTCTGTTGAATGTAGAGGGAGGTTGCGTACGAAGGGTGTGGACTATGGGTTAAGTAGGGGAAAGATCGGAGAGGGAGGTGGTGAACAAAGGTCGGTCGTCCTTCCAGGGCTTGGTATTTTGTTAGGATGATGAAATTCACCACAGGTCAGTCGGTCGGGTCCAAGGAAGCAATTCGTAAGGAAGAAGGAAGGATTGATCAGGCCGACAAATAATTCTGATGCTAGCTCAGCGCTCAAAGAAGCCGCTTGCCAGACTAGAGAGTAGTCTACCCAAGGTTGTGATGCGATGGTGTTGTGGACTCGGTCGGTTTGTGGATTGTTACTCAGTTGTCTTTAGCATGGCGATTGAAAGCAGCTTGCCTTTAGCGTCGGATCTGAATGCGCTTGTCTGCGTCTAGAGAAGGAGCATGATCCCTGTCCCTGTCCGACTAGGCGGAAAGACCGCCCACTTGATTTTGTTGCCTTACATTCACGGCCGTAATATCTTGGCAACATCTATGGCAAGCCCAGCTCGCCCAGCAAGCATACATGGCCAGCGACCTGACATTGGCTTTAGTGGGCACAATCTGGACACTAAGACCAAGACCAAATAATACATTCAACTTCCACCCCCTCCACCACCTCAACATATACAACTTTGGTCTGCCATAATGGTGCGCATATAATCCAGTCTCCAATTGCCCTTTCTTCTGCTAACTCTACAGTAGGTTGTCCTCGCAGCCTCAATCTGTACAAGGGGGGGTAAAGCTGTCCTCTCCAGGCAGTTTCGAGAGATGCAGCGGTCGAGAATTGAAGCCCTTCTTGCCTCCTTTCCAAAGCTCGCAGATTCCAGTACCCAGCATACTACCGTGGAGCAGGATAATGTACGCTTTGTCTACCAACCGCTTGACGAACTGTACATGGTCCTCATTACGAACCGACAATCCAATATCCTTCAAGATATTGATTCGTTACACCTATTCGCACAAGTTGTTACCAGCACATGCAAAACTCTGGATGAGAGGGAGATCTTGAAGAATGCCTACGAGCTTCTAAGCGCCTTTGATGAATTGGTCACTCTCGGGTATCGGGAGAATCTAACCATCAGCCAAATCAAGACATTTTTGGAAATGGAGAGTCATGAGGAGAGAATACAGGAGATCATCTCGAGAGTATGTTGAAGTATGCTTGACGTCTACAACATACAACTGACTGTTTTTGTAGAACAAGGAATTGGAGGCCACAGAAGAGCGGAAGCGAAAAGCCAAGCAGCTGGAGATGCAGCGCAAGGAAGTTTCAAGAAGTGGAAGAAATGCCGTCCCTCGAACGCCTGTTTATCCTACATATACCGCCCCAGCTAAATCAAATGTTCCCGATACCTATGATTCATACGAGGCCGAAAAGAATAAATCTTACAAGTAAGCGGGCTGCATCAACTTTCCGTGCACCACTAACGTTTTAAACAGCAAAAGCGCGCCAAAGGGCAAAGGAATGCAATTGGGCAAGAAATCGAAGACGACAGATATGTTTGAGCGTGTAAGAGGTGATTTGGGTGCGGAGGCAGAAGAGCCTGCTTCCTCCTCACTTGTTCCAAACCACCCGGCACCAGCTGCCACGGAGCATGCTGCACCCGTCTCTTCAGCCGTAGACCGTGACGCTATTCATGTTACGATTGCGGAGACGATAAATGCCAAATTGTCAAGGGAAGGAGCTTTGAACTCTCTAGAGATCAAGGGAGATTTGCAATTGAAGATCTCGGATCCAACACTGACTAAAGTCAAGTTGGATCTTGTGGCCAACGCAAGCCATGGTGTCCAGTTCCGAACTCATCCTAACGTCGATAAAAACGTTTTCAACAGCTCCAAAGGTATCCAGATGACAAATATCACGAAAGGATTCCCGGTCAACAACTCGGTGGGTGTCTTACGTTGGAGAGCCACACCAAAGTCGGACGATTCCAGTGCTGTTCCAATCACTTTTACCGTATGGGTCAACCGAGGCTCTGACGACACATACAACATTACAGTCGAATATGAGCTCACTGGTGGAGACTCATTAAAAGATGTGACAGTTGTGATTCCTTATGCTACCAGTGAGCCATCTGTATCAAGCTTTGATGCCACTTATGAAGTTTCTGGAGACAGCCTGGAATGGACTATTGGTTTGGTTGATGAAGAAAATGCTACTGGTTCATTTGAATTTGAGGCACAAGCTGGAGATGAGAACGAGTTTTTCCCCATGCAAGTCAAGTTCAGCAAGACCAAGCCATTTATTGATGTCGATGTAAGTCAATTGAGTCATAATGCTCTCAACTGTGTCCTAACAACCTTCCTTAGGTCAATGATATCACCCTACTTGAGCTCGATGAGACCGTCGACTTCTCCAAGGAGATTAAATCTGTGGCAGATGCATACACTATTGAATAAAGGCGTACTTTGGGCAGGGATGAACAAAATCCCATGGGTTTTGAGCGTAGCGTAGGGGGCGTGGCCAGACATAGCCCAGATGACGATGATTGACAGAATAGACATCACAAATGTACGAATTGAAGACCAGCTGACCAAAGTGAAAAGTCGACCGTAATGCCATCATTGTGAATTTTACCTTGCGAAGTTCACAAGTACAAATCGGGGTTTTCTATAATTTTTCAACTGCGTTCTATTTGCAATTCCCTAATTCTAATTTTCATTTGATGGGGAGGGAAGGGCGGTCATGTGTTTTCCTGATTCCAACTGGCAGGGACAACGCGCCGAGCGCGTTGCAACTTCCCTTCTCATGCAAAGCGGAGTGAAGTATTGCAATTGACCCCACCAATAAATGCATACGGTACCTGTAGGTACAATGAGCATTATTGCCTCGCGAGCCTTGCAAAATAAACGCCGATTTTTGCTTAATTGAAGCTCAGAATGGCCACGTCTGCATCTCTCGTGACGCTGGGCGAAAAGACGCTGCCTCATGCGGCCGACCCTAGCCTTTTCGCATACTGCCCATCGATGGACTTGGTCGCTCTTGGTACCACAGATCAACAAGTCCTTATATACCGACTGAATGGACAGCGCGTGTATGGGGCGGCGCAGAAGGCAGGAAAATTGGTGGTAGAGAGCATTAGGTGGAAACCAAATGGTCTGTCCCCGACTTCATGTTCTTGGGACCGGTCTAATAGATTGCAGGACAACTCCTTGCCGTTGCTTGGAGCGATGGCACAGTGCGTCTGGTTGGCGCGGAGAGTAGCAAAATCGTTCATCAATTTTCAACCGGCGAAGGTGTTTCTGGGATCACGTGCATGGGCTGGGGCTCGAATCTGACCAGCAAGACGTCCAGTCTGAAAGAGTCTAGTTCAAGTTGGAGTGATCTGTTGGATTCCGATACTCTTGTGTCAGAGACAAAATCCGTGTTGGATTTGCCGAGGGATCTGTCTATGATTGACATCGAAAGAAGTCTACCCAAATTAAGTCTTTTAGCAGCAGGCGGCAGCTTGTAAGTTTAAATTCCAATTTTGCATGAAGTGGGTTGCTAATATGGCTTCAGAGAAGATGTTTTTTGTTCCCGGTCTTCTTTGGACTCTCTTTCCCGCCCCTTCGACCCAAAAGACAACGACGCAGTCGATGTAATGGTTGTTGGGACCAAAGAAGGACATATCCATCTTACCATATACGACTCGTTTGTAATTGGGTCCTTTTCTCTCCCTCCGATTCGATCAAGCTTCACATCACACTTGGTCATGCACTCATCACATCCAAGGTGCTCATCCCACGCTCTTCTTGTGAAAGCTCCAGACTCGGACAGTCTATCTTTTGCCGCACTAGACCTACGCTTTATTTCTGCAACTAGCGATTATCTTTCACTCCTCGCATCGAGGTCAACAGCACTTCAGAACCTGCTAAGATACATTCATCAAGTCCAAATATTGATCGTTAATGAATGGAAATCTACGCAGGATTTGCCGAGCAAGTTTCTTCGCAATGTCAACGAAGAGCTTGCGGACAAGGGAAAGGGAAACATTGTTCAAGCTCTTTACCATTCGGTAGCAACAGGGCACACTTTTCCGATCGTCAAAGAATGGTTGGTAGATGAATTGTCAGAGAGGGTGGGTTTAGTGGCTCCATTAATGGCTTATTGTCTAACTTTAATAGGGTCATAAACGCTGGGAAAAGGCAGTGGTCACTGGATTGGAAAACACTCGCCGATTAGTTCATGAGAACATGCTTCCTGCTCTGGAAAGATGTTCCGTTATACTAAGTCGATTTTCCGGCATTGCCAAATTTCAGAGCTCCAATGATACACTGGGATTCTCCAGTCACCAAATCAGCCTAATCGTGGATACTGTGGCTTGCCTGCATCTAGTGTCCGCTAAAATTCTGCTCCAGGTTGTTGATGAGCTTGAGCTTTTCGGAGCATTCTCTTCTTGGTTAAGACATGAGATTGATAAACTAGCCTCGGATTCATCAGTAGCTGCCAAAGACGATGAGTTGGAAAAGGAAGCATCAATTGAGCACAGCAAAGTGCTATTATACCTTCAAAACTGCATGACTTCGAGTCCTTTGGAGGTGTATCTCGGAGACAATACCTCTGACGAGTACAAGGATGGTTGGCAACAAGTTGAAGAAAATCTTCCCATCTATGAAATCCTTGACAAGCAGCTCCGAAAGCAAGAATCAAGGCTCCCGTATCTGAAAGCATTGCCGCGTGTGGAATTACTCTGCAATTACTTGAATAAGCAGGCAAAGGTTGTGTTCAGCCAGATTGCAAATGCTGAGAAACGCAATGTGATATTTGGGACGCCTCAGCAAGTTGGAGTTATTGCAAATGAGAAGTTGATAGATATGCGGCTAAGTACAACTGTCAGTCAAATGATATATCACTGATTGCAAATAAACTGACATCTTGATAGGGTCCAGCGACCGCTCGAGCTTGCGTTGCATTTGTCCCTAAAAACATGCCAGCATGTAGTAAGTGACTATTCTTCTTTGTATCTCTGGGAATTTCATTCTAAAATACGACAGTACAAATCACTCGAGTCCATCTATCAATAGATGGTGGTCTCAGCTCAGTCTCAGAAATGGATTCATCAACACTCAAACTAGGTAGTGGCACGATTACAGATGTCAGGATATTTGGCGACACCCTATTGATCATGTGGGAACTTGATGGTATGCCCTCCTCCCCCCACCAACACAAATAAATCTAACCAAACTCCCAGGCGCAACAACCCTCCTTACAATCCCCCACGATACCTCCACGGCTCCTCACGCAACGGAACCGGGAGACTTCCACATACACTACTCCCAACACCTTGAAACCTCCACGGCCCCTACCCCCATGGTTCTCACTAACGAAGATATCAAGGAGCGATTCGGGAAGCGTCAGATTCCTACCACTGGATCTTTCGTCCCTGAACGGATGGAGGTTAGGAGTGGATCGTTGGAGATGAGACGGATTGCTGTGTTGGGCAAGGATAGGATTCATTATAAGGTTCTTGGACTGGAGATGGAAGAGGAGGGAAAGGGTACAGGGAAGGGGAAGGAGAAGGGGAAGGGAAGTGAGGGGGACGTTGAGATGGTTGCTGAGGTGTGAGGTATTGAGATTTTTATGGGAATGAGATGATGATATATATATATATAATATCGTATTTTGTGGCTTTGCTGTGTTGATGAGTGATGTGATTTATTGTCACTTTTATAGGGATTTTGATGAGACTTTTTTGTTGTTTCAAAGAGTATTATTTTGGTACAGATGGTATCTACGAAAATTAGCTATTGGGTTGAAAGGGTATTGGGTACTGAAGGTCATGGAGAATTGATTTCATTGTAAAAGGTAGCTATCTAAGGTGTTTATATGAAGAGTGTAAGGTTTAGGCAGACATGAAGCATTTAGGCAGCAGAACTATAAGTGGATCAAACAAGGAAGTGGAGCAAAAGAGAAAGTAGACCCAGCACAACATTAGCTTACTCCTTGTTAGATGGGAGCGGCTGTGGATCACCCCCTTATTATTCAATGTTTAGTCCTTTTTAGTAACTAAAGAAGCATTCGGTTTTACGAGTTTTGGTTTGCTTTGGTTTTACGAAATCTGATTGTGATGTAAAGATAATAGCTCATAGATTAGGGTATTACCCTAGTGGGAGCACAGGAGTCTATAAGTTATAGACTCCTGTTGCTAGGAATATGGAAGGCCAGGGTGCTAGAAGAGTTGTTGTTGGTTTGACTCTAAGTCAATAGAGCCGAAAAGATAATAAGGAAAGTATAATATAAGGCTAATAGTTTAGTATCGAATGTATTATATTATAAAGACTATTAGTTATATATACTAAGTAAAGGTATTATAAGTACTACTACTATTATATAGTAGTACTTAGTACTAAGTATAATACATAAGTAGCCTTAAGTAGTATTTACTTATACTAATACTAGGCTAACTTTAAAAGACGAAGAATGCTATACTCGGTAACATACTAACTAAATAACTAGCTATTCCTAGTTCCTTAAATAATATAAAACAAACCCCTGTTTTATGTAAAAGAAACTCTATAATATCCTTTTAAAGAACCTATTTAATATCCTCCTTCCCTACTCTAATCTTTTTATATTTAACCTACTCTTATATATTAATCTTAATCTTATTAGATTTAATTAATTTAGTAAGTACCTAGTAAGGCTTTAATTTAGTTATTAAATCTATGGGATTAGAATCTTCTTAAATCTATATAATAGTATAGGTCTCTTATTATTTATATACTTATTAAAGTACTATTATATTAATTATTAATTACTTATCCTTAGTAGTACTAAGTTTAGTTAAATAATTATAGATTAACTTAGAATTAGTATAAATAGTAAGGTTAAGCTTATAACCTAGGATAGTATCTAAAGTTAATTTAATAACTCCTACTATATCGAAACCTCTACTTAGANTTATAGATTAACTTAGAATTAGTATAAATAGTAAGGTTAAGCTTATAACCTAGGATAGTATCTAAAGTTAATTTAATAACTCCTACTATATCGAAACCTCTACTTAGAGTATATAGCTTAGAAGCTAGAATACTTTATATAACTTATCTATACTTTATAGAACTCTAGTATAGAATTATAGTATTATTATTCTTATCTACTAAGTATAAGATATATCTAATCTAAGAAGATAGGTCTATTAGGTTTATAAAAGAGGCGTTAATAAATAGAATAAGTCGAAGTAAATTATAGTCTAGAGGAATATATTCAAGTCCTTTCTTTAGATTATTAATTAACTATTAAATTCGCTTATTTAGTACTTAAATTTCTCGCTTTTTATAATTTATTAATTATATAATAATATTTAGATTAAACATAGCCTCTAGTTAATAAACTATTACTATATATACGCTAAGTACTTACTAAGTAATATATTAATCCTTTATAGAATAATCCTTTTAAACTAATTCTTTTATACTTATAAGATTAATTAGCTTATTCTTAATAAGCTTAATATAAGAAGTATAGTTATAGATAAGTATAATTAAACTAATCCTTTTATACTTATAAGATTAATTAGCTTATTCTTAATAAGCTTAATATAAGAAGTATAGTTATAGATAAGTATAATTAAACTATTCTTATCTAAAGTAATATTTATACTATTAAATTTAAGAGGTTTTATACTATTAAATTTAAGAGGTTTTTCGATAGTTAATTACTTAATTAGTTTTAACTTAAAAACTTTAGATTCTTCTTACTTCTTATTTATAAATATAGTATTACTAAGTATAAGAGTATTATTAGTTTATAATCTAACTATCTTAAATATTCCTTTATAATTAGTATATAATAAGTATGAGTTATATATAAATTACTTTATATATAGTATTTCTATATAGCATTTAAGATAAGTATTATACTAATAGTTACCTAACTCTAGAATACTATATAATAGCTTTAAGATCTTAAAGTATATATTCTCCTACTTTAGCGATCCTTTTAGTCCTTATATAAAGAATAGTTAATTAAGCGTAGTCTTTAGTTAAGTATATACTTAAACTATATTACAGAGCTATAACTTTAAAGGTTTATTCTTAACGTATAATAGGATTATAGTAAAAGTAATAAATAATCTACTACTAACGTATTAAATTATTAGAGATTAAGTTAAGACTATTTTCTTATTATTACTATTAAAAGCTTTAATAACTAGTTTAGACTTCTTAGATATTGTAGAAGTTCTTTTATTTTTAATAGTATTAACAAATCTAGAACTAAATATATAAGTATCTTTTAGTAGATTATTAAAGGAAATAATTCTATATACTCTATTCTTATACTATACCTAGACTTCTAGTCCTAGTAGTAAATCTTTAACTTTATTCGAAGGTCTATTTTATATATTAAAAGTATCTCGAACTTAGTATTTAGCTTTAATCTTATATAACTCTATTATAGCCTTTTAAAGTATAGTAGATTACTTAGTAGCTATAGTCGAATAGGTTTTATAATCGGTTATCTTTAGATATATACTAAATATAAGTGGGGTTAATTAAGCTATTAGGTCCTATAGTATTATTCATAGCTTTTACTATTATTTAAAGTATAAAATCCTTTTATAAGTCTAGGAGCTCTTTATAGATAATTAAATAAGTATAGTAGATTAGCTTATAGTAACGTTCAACTAATCTAATTAAATTATATACTTCTACTAGTATAGTAGTAATCTATATACTAAGTATACTTATATATAACTTAAACTCCTTAGATATAAAGTTCTTTCCTATATTAGTTATAAGTATATCTATTAGCCCTATAAATATATAAATCTAGTACTTTCTAACTATATCCTAGATGTACTTGGCTAAGAGGTTTTAAAGCTAATAAGTAATATTCTAATTAATAGCTTTATTAATTATATAAAGTATAGACTTCCCTAAAATAAAGAATATATTTATATATACTATATAGTTAAAGTCCTTATTATCCTTAAGCGTAAAGCGGAATCTATATAGTAAGACGCTATACTTTTAGTAGTAATTATAGTACTTAGCTAGCTTCTTAAGAATATATAAGTCTACTTTATATCTAGCTTATTCTACGACTTTCTATAATCTCTAGATAGATAGGTAGCTAAATCGCTAATGAAGTCGACCTAATTTAGTCTTAGTTAAAGAGGTTAGGAATTATTATATAAAGTTATATAAAGCCTATCCCTATACTATAAAAGGGTGTCCGAATCGTTAAATAATAGTTATATAAGACTTGTTTATATATTAAATCATATTCTTAAGATTAAGGAAAGTAGCTTTATAGTAATCTAACTCCTAGAGATATATAATAAATAGGAGTTCGATCTTAAATATATAAAAGTCTATTAGTCTAAGTAGTATATTAATAGTTGTATAACCCTTAGTAATAGATACGCTAATACTAAATTTAACGCTTATAGTACTTAATCTTAGTAGCGAACTATAAATAGCCTTATATACTATATATTAATCCTATTCTACTAAGTTAAGAGTAATAGTACCTATATTAATTATAATACTATAAAAGTACTCTAGACCCTAGCGCTTATTTAGTATTAGAGCTCTTATAGTAGTAATAGCCGAAAGTATACCGGCCTTATCTAAGTTTTAACTACTAATAAATAGCTTATTATTAGCCTAAAGCCCGATCTAGTATATATAAGATATATTATTATACTAGGTAACTAGCTAATAAGCGCTATCATTGTCTAATAATTTTAAAGTAATTAGCTCTATAGTATAATAATAACTAATATAACCCTTTTCTAGCTTATTAGTATTCGAATTAGAGTTAGAGATAAAACTCTTAGTTTTAGAGTTAGAATTACCTTTATAATCTGTAATAAATATATAATATATTTTATCTAAATCTACCTTATTAAAATTACTTTTATACAACTTCTTATATCTATACTACTACTGTGACGGAGCTGGATTTCATTTGACAGGATTTCATTCGCTTGGCCAAGCACGTGACGAGACATGGCATTGGAACAACTCAAATAACTTCGCTCCTTTCAGATTCTCTTCTCTCTTTAGTTTGATTTCTTCGTACCTACGGTTTTAGTTCTAGCAATTGATTCAAAAGCTGTATACACTTTATCCTTTGTTGGCATCCGTGACAACTACTTCTTCTTATATTATTCCTATTTCTTAACTAGATACTTATTTATATAGTAATTCAGGTCCTTATAAATATATGTAACGAATACTCAAACTGGCTAACTAAATGTCACGAATCACGTGTTAGCACGTGGTTAGCGAAGACCAGGCGGCGTCCTGACAGGTCAAGCACTACCAGAATACTTATAGCAGATAGGGATGCTTAGGTTAGCTAAGCGATCCAGGGATTTCATAGCAATTATATCACGTGACCAGTAATGGTCGATTGGTCGCGGCGACCAGCAGTGATCATGAGGATGAAGGTTCTATATAAGACTGGCACGTCTGCCATTAGATAGGAGCTTCGTGCTCAACTTAGTTATCAATCTTATCATATTAGTTTGACATCTTTGATACAAGTAACGAGTTCACTTCCAAGTGAACAACCCGATAGTCTTCTTCTTATCATAGCATACCAACCAGCGAACACCCAGCCAAGTTTAGTGTAACGAATACTCAAACTGGCTAACTAAACTTGGCTGGGTGTTCGCTGGTTGGTATGCTATGATAAGAAGAAGTTGATAAGATTGATAACTAAGTTGAGCACGAAGCTCCTATCTAATGGCAGACGTGCCAGTCTTATATAGAACCTTCGTTCTCCCTAGGCCGTCAACTCGCCTGTCGAGCTAGCGGTCCAGTCTTAGTCACGTGATTACATACAAGAGAAATCCCTGGATCGCTTAGCTACCCCAAACGATCCCTATTTGCTATAAGAAACCTGGATGTGCCTGTCGAGGGTTGCGCCTCTTATTATGACAAGTATCACGTGAGCACGTGATTCGTGACAGGGTAAAAGGTAGAACCTCTACTACTATAACAGCTTTAATATCTAGTATTAAGGAATCGAAGTTATCTAATCTATATATACAATTATACTAATTAGTATTAGTTTAACTCTAAGTTAATAGAGCCGAAAAGATAATAAGGAAAGTATAATATAAGGCTAATAGTTTAGTATCGAATGTATTATATTATAAAGACTATTAGTTATATACACAAAGTAAAGGTGTTATAAGTGCTACTACTATTATATAGTGGTGCTTAGTACCAAGTACGGTACGTAAGTAGCCTTAAGTAGTATTTGCTTATACTAATAGTTGTATTTAGATAACTAGGAACAGCGTATTAAATAAGTAGAGTAGAGCAGAGTAGAGTAGAGGCATGTCACGAATCACGTGCTCACGTGATACTTGTCATAATAAAGAGGCGCAACCCTCGACAGGCACATCCAGGTTTCTTATAGCAAATAGGGATTGCTTAGGCCAGCTAAGCGATCCATGGATTTCCTTTAGTTACTGTCACGTGATTGATGGGCATCAGAGGTGGTCGGACTGACGACCTCTGAGGAATCAGGATCGATCAGGGCAATGAGCACTGATCCGCGAGAACGAAGGTTCTATATAATACTGGCACGTCTGCCATTAGATAGGAGCTTCGTGCTCAACTTTGTTACTGTCACGTGATTGATGGGCATCAGAGGTGGTCGGACTGACGACCTCTGAGGAATCAGGATCGATCAGGGCAATGAGCACTGATCCGCGAGAACGAAGGTTCTATATAATACTGGCACGTCTGCCATTAGATAGGAGCTTCGTGCTCAACTTAGTTATCAATCTTATCATATTAGTTTGACATCTTTGATACAAGTAACGAGTTCACTTCCAAGTGAACAACCCGATAGTATTCTTCTTATCATAGCATACCAACCAGCGAACACCCAGCCAAGTTTAGTTAGCCAGTTTGAGTATTCGTTACAAGGCACCTACTTAACACTACTTAAGTAGGTTTTAGCCCTACTCTAACCTACTCGCGAAGAATTGAGTAGGTTAGAGTACTAATTAAGTAGAGTTGCGCTAGTCGGCGCGAGGCCCCGTAGCGTACCCAGGGTACTCCGGCTAGTGGGTGCACTTACTAGTACTTCGGCTTAATCGAGTACGTACTCCCTTGTACTAGTAGAAGGTAAATAGCGTAAGATATACTATTTTACTAATTTTAGCAAGGAAACATTTACAAATACCCGCTACAAGTGCGCTAGCGAGTCGCTCTTTAGCTAAGGGGCTACGATTAACAATTCTAACAAAGAGTACTTGTTATTTTATACTTTAGTTACTGCTAATATATGACTACTCAAGTATACTTGAGTAGTTGAATCCACTACTCTAACCTACTCAACCAGACTATATACTCAAACCTACTCTAATCTAATTGAGTATAACCCGTGTATACTTGATTAGCTGAGTATTTCTTTCTTACGCTAACTAGGGAGCTAAGTGCGTACTGTGGGCAGGAGCCTGGCTTATATGGCCCTGGCATATGCCCCTCCTTTGTTGTACATTCCTGTTCTAATATATGCAGGTTCCGTGCGGTGGAAACCACTGGTCAGCATAATCCTGACAACAACTCCTGTACTTTTAGTAGGAACTTTACTAACTTATAAGTTAAAATTTTAAAATTTTTTAAAACTCCTAACAAGGTGGAAATATGTGTGTGATTGGCAATCAATCCAAGTAATTCGAGGCACTTCTTCCATCCGTTTCCGGCAACATCAACTACTCACACGTGGTTGGAATGTGGGTCCAACCCATGTATTAATATCTTATCTGATTGTATGTAGATGCTCGTCCCGGGTATCCAAGTATGAGATGACTCAGATGGAATGGACAAACCAAACGAGTTCGTAATCTTTCCATACCCTGTTAAACAATGATTTCCATGATTCTAGACCATCTCGCAAGGTATTTGATATCAGACTTGGCAAACATCGACTCTGTCTCCAGGCGATATCAGTGCCCAAAGCCTCTATTTAATCTATCTGCTTCCTCTTCGGCTTCATCGTCACCTTCGAGTCGGATCTCATGACCATCGCCATCTTTCACAAAATTACTCGCAAAACAATTGATTCCTGCAAACCCTGCCAGAACCCAAAACATCGCGCCGACAACGCCTTTCTCAAGTCCTGCACCACATAACCATCCTCCCAGCGCAGGTCCAACGGTTCTGGCTGCTGCAGAGGCACTCTGGCTGATACCATGGACTGTCCCCAAGACCGTAGGATGAGGACAGCAGTTGTTCAGTAGAATCTGGGCCGCAGGTGCCGCAAAAGTTCTACCGATGACGAAGAGAAATATCAGAGAGGTAAGAACAACCCAGAAGGTAATTCCTGTCTTCTCGGATGGGGGCGGTGACGTGCTTGGAACAATAGCTAGAAATGGGGTGATGGAGTAAATGATTGGAAAGCAGTATAGGAATACCCTCCAAGAAGTCACGGTGCCAAGGTATGTATTGACGTCGGGGTAGAGGAACAATTGGAGGATGATACCCACAGAACCAAGCATCGCCATGGAGAACCCAATGTCTCGGGCTGAAAGACCAGTACCACCAGTGAAAACGAACGGTAGATTTGGAGTATAATTCGGTAGTGGATGAGCTGGATCGTAAACCGGTGGACTGAGGAAGGTGTAGAGAATGGACTGGAACGTTCCCATGGCAAATGCAAGCAGCGAGTGAGAAACTAATACGCACAAAACATTATAGGTAAATATACGACGAAATGGGAGCGAATTTGGGTAGTGAGGAGCTACCCTCTTTGGCGGCTTTGGGGTCACGGGAGACATTTCGACTTCTGGGACATCTGTATCTTGCTGACGAACCTGCGTATAGCCTTGAATGGACCGTTTCCCTCGCATTCTTCGGTAAATGGAGATAATCTTTTGACTAACGTTAATACCGCAATCTTCGTGTCGGCTGAACGCTTCGTGGGTCTGGATTGTCAGTAACTATTACTCATATAGCACGGGATCTTATTTTACCTCTTCCATGCCCAGCCATACAGAGATAAATGCAATGACCAGAATCATTGCACTGATAATATTAGGTGGAGGATACGGGTACTTTTCAAGCCACTTGATACCTCCAAATAAATTGGGGTATACATTCGCTGGATCACTCGTCAAACCGCCCAGCATTGGACCAATAATGATTCCGATATTCGCAGTCATCGGAAGTATTAACAAAGCTCTCGACTGGAACCTACTCTTGATTAATTTTGATACCCACAGTGCATATGGTAGTGACTCACTTCTTTTCCCGAATGATCTCACTAACCATGGTTCTCATAACTCCAACATTGCCATTGAGAGCACCACCAAGGCTTCGGAATATCAGCGCTTGCGCGAAGGTGGCTGAAAATCCAAATCCTGTGCATGATAGAGCAGTCCCTGCAAGCCCAAACAAAATTATAGTCTTTCTTCCTCTAATATCTGACTCCCGCCCCCAAAGCATTGCCGTGCATAATTGTGCAGCTGCAAAAGCTCCTTGAATGATACCAACCTGTGAAGCAATGGTCGAATCAGGGAGACTCTGGTCGAAGGATTTCATTTGATAAAAAAGATATGACTTTTTTGTCAGTAGAGAAATCAATAGAACCGCGTCACAGTGGATCACTTACTCGCAAAGAAGATTGCACCAAAGGCTCTGAGAGTCTCGCAAAAGTTAATAGAGCTAACCGCCCCTTATGCGGAAGATCACTCCACGAGACTGGCTTGTTTGTAGCCTTCGGTGGTACCTGGATCGTCAACTCTCCATGTTCCTCGTCTCTTGATATCCTCCCATTTGAACCAGTTCCAGACATCCGCCCTGTTGCCGATGCTTTATCATGATGGGCAGACGTCCACCGCCAAGTTTGATTACATTAGAGCTTGACTTGTCGCTATCGGTATCTGTATCTGAAATTGTCGAATAATTACGATCTTGGCTGGGCTGAAGTGGGGTTTCTGGCATGTCGTATCACCAGTATTGGCAAAAATGGCGGCAGAGGCGAGCAGTTTCTTGGGTTATCCAAGTTACTGCAAAAACATGAATCTGTGACAGTATTATGTCGAAAATATAACGGGTCGTCGGAGTTTAGCTTCAAAACTACCCCACAATCACTGCCAACAGGAAGTGCGGCACCCTAGGCAGGGCCGCGATCGGCTTTGCATCTGTGTCATGCGCAGTCCCTTGCAAGGGAGTTAATAGCTGGGGCATGTGGAGAACATAGGGAATGGCGAATAACCGTTTTACAGGAGGTGATTGCATTGGTTGGAGTGTTACTGTATGTGTGAATGGAAAGGTGAAATGCGATGAGCATAAGATGAAAAGATGCGCCCGCGCCAAGCTCATTTAAGCTGCGCCGAGCTGCCAGGCCAAGGCAATTTTGAAAGTTGTCTAGCAGTCGCCTCCTGTACTACAACAGCACTTTATAACGTATAAGCTGCTGAAAAGGTTTACTGGGAGCTGAATGGCGAATAAAAGAGAGTCTCTATATGATCAGCTTCTTATTTCTCAAGCTGCGCAGATCCCATAGCCATTACGAACTCTTTCCTTCCCTTGGGTATCATCATAACTCGTCATCCTCATCCTCCGTATCAGTACCAAAACCATTCACATCCACCTTCCCGGTCCCAATTACAGTCATGACACCAGGTGAAGGCACATCCATAATCGTCATCATGTCTGCATTCCCTGCACCAACCGTTTCTGGAACTCCATAGTCCCCGATATTCTCGTCTTCCGTCTCAGTAGGCACATCCAATACCTCTTTAGTCGTCTTCTCAGAAACTGGCTCGCTCCGAAAGCTATCTCCCGCACTACCCTCCTTTCGCTTTAAGTAAAACCTCTCTAAACAATCCGTCCTCTGCTTCTGCGTCCAACTCTCTACTACAAGAGCAAACTCGGTCGCATTCTCGAATCCAAAAGTCTTGGCCATGGTGCAGAACTGTCGGTACATCACATCCTTTGGTGGATGGAAAACATACTGGTCTTCTGCATTCTGAGATTCCGCAAAAAGCTTTTGTTGCCCATAATCGACATCGTTCCCGGTTTCTTGAGCTCGTCTACTGAGTTCCGCTTCAATTTTGGAGGAACCCACAACTTCGGAGTTTTCATGTGTATACTGAACTCCCGCTGAAGTGAGAATAGCTTGAATGGGATCCATTTTCGGCTTAGGTTTTGTTGTAGTGGTTTTGAGATCTTCTCCCTTTTCGATGAGAGCTACGAGTTGGCTCATAGCTCCATCTTCGTCGTCGTTGTCGACCTTGAGAGGATTGTCATCGTCATCAAGTTCTTCCAGGTTTATTTCGATCATGTCAATTCCGCGTTTCGCCTCCGCCACATTAGTTTTATTGACGATATCTCGAAGAACAATATTATCGCCGTGGTAGGTAAGCAAGTTATGTAGCCCAAATATTTCGCCTTTTTGGCCACTCGATTGCTGGACTCCCTTGAAGTATCTGCGCTCAACCGAGGCTGAATATCCAATATTGGCTTGTTGTTGCTTATAGATCTGACGTGCATAAACGATCTCCTCGACTGTCCCAGCGGATACAAGACGGAACACTTCGACATCCCGGGTTTGCCCAATACGGTAGGCCCGATCTTGGGCTTGAAGGTCGTAACTTGGATTCCAGTTGGGGTCAAAGATTATTACTTTGTTTGCGCTTGTAATATTCAATCCAACGCCTAAGAAATTTAGCAGGATATCTATCATCGGATGTGAAGAAAACCTACCTCCGGCTTTGGTAGAAATCAAGAACACAAACTGCCGAGGATCCGAGTTGAAATCATCAACAGTTTTTTGACGCTCGTCGACAGGCATCTCACCACTAAGAAAGCTAACGTTGTAGCTAGTATTATTAAAAAGATGGTGGAGCATTTTTAGTAATCTCACACTATGTGAGAAAATGAGAACTTTATCACCATCATCGTGGAATTGTTTCAACAGTCTCTTCAGAAGTTTCCACTGCGAACAAGAGTTAGATTAAGAAGTGGCACGCAGACTTAGAGACTGACCTTGCCGCAGAACTCAGGATTGGAAAGATTAAATAAGGATTCTTTATTAGCCCAAAGTTCTTTCCACCTATCCGGCACCATCGTTTTGAGAAACTCTAGATCTCGCTCTTGCTTTTCTGGGGAATCATTGGAGTTTGGAATAAGTAGGGCAAGGTGGTTAGACAGTTTCTGGAGAGTGATAATGACGGGAAATACTAAAGCCTAAAGTAGAATTAGTATCAAGGGATATGCCATTAGAATCTCTTCCTACCTTCCATGAAGTACCATCGAGCATCACATGGCAACACCATCCTCTCTTCTTTCCAGATCCGCACTCGCATCCAACGGTTGAATATTTGACTATTTCCACAATATCACTCTCAAGAAATAGCTCGTAAGCTTCCTTTTGGATGTCCGTTAAGGGGCAGAAAATAACTTTGTCTGTTTTCTTTGGCAGCTGATGGGCTATCAGGCTCTTCATACGACGCAAGAAAAACTCCGGTAGCAAGTTATTAACCAATTTATTCGCAGTTTCTCTCGCCTGCTTCAACTGATGAAACGTGGCGTCGTGACTGTTCATATATTTAGCATAAGAGCTCAATTTAGAGAGAAGTCCTTACGATTGGCCTTGCCGTAATGGGCCGCTAATGCTGGTTTTCCACGTCGATAAGGGGCCAAACCGCCCAGGACTGCACCAGTTGAGAAGAGTCCAGAGCTCTTCATACTTGTTCTGAATTGCTGTACCAGTGAGTCCAATTCTGCATAACGCGTTGATCTCGTTCATTGCTTCAGTTGTTGCGGACTTGATTTCTTTCAATGTATGACACTCGTCAGCGACAACACAATCCCAAGGGACGAGGTTCAAGTGGTCCTTGTGATTTCGATAAGTTTGGTATGTAGTGATGACAACCTCCGATCGCCCAGCTTTCGCGGTCTCAAGGACGGCATCTCTATCTTTCTGGTGAAACTTATCGATATGCCACCAACCCCATCTTTTTAATTCATTTTCCCAGTTCTGAATGAGGGAGCCGGGGCATACTATTAACACTCGTGGATACCAGCGTCTACCGGCTCTCCTCATTTTCCTCATTCTTTTATCATCTCTCTCGTCCCCTGTCTTCCCAAAGGCGGTAGTAAGAAACGCAGCAACCTGAACTGTTTTCCCCAAGCCCATGTCATCACCCAAAATGCCCCCCTTTTGATAAACGAATAATTCATGAAGGAACTCAACGCCTTTGACCTGATAATCTCGAAGACACTGTGCAATAGAAGCAGGTATTATTCCTAAAGAGTTTGGTAATTCAATATCTTTGTATGGTCGTGACCGTTCAACACTTGCAGGGAAATCAGGTCGCTCTTGGAGTTCAGCAATTCGCTCATCGTCCGAGAAATATACATCATCGTACGAAGGTGGGATCTGAAGTGCCGAGTCCTGGAACTTCTGGTATTCCTGATCAAAATCCCTCCGTCTCTCAAGAAAGTACTCTGGCATGTCCATGTCCACCAAGTCATCATCTGAAGCATCTCCCCAAACTCGTTGTTTCTTCTTAGCTGGCTCGGCGGAACCGTTCTTCTTTTGTTTCTTCCTCTCGGCCGTTGCCTTTTTGGTCTTCTCTGCGAGTTTCTTCTTCGTAGCTGCAGTTTTCTTGCGCTTGATGCTCTTCCTCTCCATGAATTTCTTATAGGCATCGTCGCTATCCTCATCGGACCATTTCACCTTTTCTCCTGCCTTGACTGCTCCATCTTTGCGGATCTTCTGCTTTACGTCCGTGATCTCGACGTCGGAATCAGTGATTTCCTCGTCTTGATGTCCGACAACTCCTAGAGAGCGATTAGCCAGAGACGATGTCGAAGAAGGAAACTGGCGCAATCACTTTCGATGTACTCATCGGCGCGCATTGGGTGCCTAAATCTTCTGCGCCTAGCTGCGAAAGCATCTTCTTCCTCTTCGTCATCCTCAATGTCTTCCGGCGCATCTACAGTCCCTAAAATAAATTGAGACATCGTATTGTCGCGGGGTATTGGGTGATATGCAGTCCAGTCTGGGCAAAGGGTACAAGTACGCGCTTGATGTGACGCGTAGTCACGTGAAACAGATGCCAAGGCCGGGCCTTGTTCCAACCAAATGGAAGGCAAAGGACAGCCAGCATATGGAGAGGGAGCATACGGAGTTCGAGTACATCTACATACCAAAAGCATCAACCCATGAATATCATCCCACACCAACATGGAAGAAACCGAACCAGTCCAAGCTCGACCTCTCATCAACTACGTCGTTGGCTTTCTGCTCATCGGTTTGGCATGGGGCTTCACAACCCCCTTCATCCGACGTGCCGCAGTCCATCACAAGCCTCCACCACATCCTATTCTCGAGACCCCTTCCATTCAAAATAGCTGGATAAAGAGCAAAGTCTACGGAGCTTTCTTTGGCGTCACCGACTTGTTGAGGAATTGGAGATATGCTTTGCCCCTGGTGATCAATTTAACTGGGAGTGTTTGGTTCTTCTTGTTGATTGGTCAGGCTGGTATGTGTTTTCGTTCCCTGCTTTTCCCTCCGATTTATTGCCTTGAAGAGTGTGAAACTGGATTCAAAGGATATTGTCGACCTTGAAAAGTTTGGAGGCGATTCTGGCTAACCCACAACCACAGAACTCAGTCTCACAGTCCCAATCACCAATTCCTTGGCCTTCCTCTTCACAGTGCTAGGGGAATGGTGGGTAGAAAAGAAAGTGATCTGCAGAGGCGAGTTCTCAATCGTATTCTTCAGTACCAATTACTAACAAAGTATGAAGATACTTGGATAGGAATGACCTTGTCGCTTGTAGGAATAGCTCTCTGTGTACAGAGCAAAAACACTTAGATCTACTAATGAAGTACAAAAATTCTTCGCTCAATGATTCATAAATCCTCGCTTGAAATGCACACAAGAAATGAAATTTTCCTGGCTTCCTGTACCAGTGAAGAAATAAGGCTCCCAAGGAAATTAGAAAGACGCCCACGCAATGCCACAGATTGACCAGCAATCCCTCAAAAAATGCCAAAATGCAAAATCCGCCCCACAAAATGCAAGATCAGAAGCAATACAAGCATTTCTTTTTCAAAGTCACTCAAGAACGAGCTCTGACCCATCTCTGCACATCCCTCAATCGTGGGTCCTCTTGAATCCATCTCCCCAACCCATAGTCGGAAGATCTCAAATCATTATAGATAGATTCGTCAGTAATAGCAGCAAGTTCCTGGCACTCGTTAATTCTTTGCTCAAGATCAAAGGAGGAAAAGCGGGAGTTTTTACGGAACGCAACTGCGCATCGCAAGATGCCAATTGAGATGTATGTCCACTATGCGGTCTCTGACCTCCAAGAATCGAATCTCGCCAGGAGACCCATCTCTGAGCTGCGCATTGCCGAAGATAGATTTTCTGGCCTTCGTGACGACGTGCAAAGGCGTCCAGTGTTACTCTATTTTTCTTGTCAGCTTTCTTCTTGTCACATTTCAACACAATTATAAGAGAATGGAAGAAAGTACTTACTGTATCAATTCCGCTTTGTTCTGTTCCTCTACACCACCTCGAACACGTGGAACTCTGGTTTCGGCTGCACAATTCAATACGTGTTGACCATCTATGGAGCATTGTCGCAAGGCCGCCCATCCCTCGGTGTAATAATCATCTTGATTTGGTGGGTCTGCCGGTGCTGAGGCGATGTAGTATTGGAGAGTGCGGAAATCTGAGAGGAGATCTGCTACGCGAATGGTGCGCTGTTCGTTTACTTTTGGTTTTGTTAGTGAGTGCAGTGAGCCATGAGGGACTGAAGGGTGTTGGCGAAGGAGTGTTGTCTATAAAAGAACAGATGGGGAGAATGAGAAGCAGAGACTTACAACCGTCAGACATTTTGAACGAATGGTAATATTCTTACAAGCCCAAATGAGAGTTGATGAAGCGAGATAGAGAAGGGATGGTGGAGGTTTGAAGTACTTCGGCTATAGGCGAATGACTTGACTTGAGAACAGCGAATGAGAGAAAGACGAAAGCAATTAAGAGATCTGTAGGTATATGTGCAATGCGTGCTAAACCGTTGATTAAGGTCTCCGAATGTCTTCAACAAGCGAAGCCACGGGCTCTATATATTAAGAAATCTATCATCTCTACAACTGTGAATGCATCCCTCGTTTAAAGATATCACACAAAAAGGTTAGTATCCCCGAAAAGGAAGATGTGGCTGGCTCACCATAATTTACTCAGCACGTAGAGTTCGATTACCCACAGTCTCAACATGGTAGCAAACACAGTGAGAGACTCGGTGCCGTGGCCATTGAAGGTAGGCAGGTCGATTCGAAACAGGAATAGCCCGCAGCGCAATCGGGAAATGATGCTCATCCACTTTGCCTTCTCGAGCTCAAACCTCTTTCAGGCCATCACCAATCTCATCCATTCGCTGCAAGCCATTTGATGCCGTCATGGAGAAAGACCCTCGATTCACCCCTACCAAGCGTAGACGAGATCCGGAAGCATTTTATTTACAGAAACCCGCATACGGAATGATTTCATACAAGGGTTAAGAGAGGCTCTGTGACCGGGGCAAGGGAAGGGCTTGTCGATGTCATCTGCAAGGGACGACTTCGTTGGGACTACAAGGCGATATTGCGCTCGAGATGAGGATAGGGGCGCCACTGTACAACCTACGACAAGGAAAAATGGAAGCGGTTCTGCCGTTAGTTGCGGTATCATGGGCTGCCTTTCCTCGCTTCAGCGCGGCACAACGTGGCATATCCAACGTGAACCACCAGTAGAAATTGAGCCGAGGAAAGAAAGAATAATGGAAATGTGGCTGGATCCAATCAAAAGACAAGAAATGATGCAAAGAGTGATGGAGCCTTACGAGGAAAGCGTAGAGCTGAATTTTCAGTTGGGGACGGAGCCACCGTCCAACACTGCACTGCATCGGATCTACTCGAGATGCGTAACGTACCCTGATTTACACATGGCTGGCAACCCAGTTTTGCTTCTGAGTAATTGGCCGAAGAGCAATTGGCCAGTCATAGCTCTCAACGTTGGTGTTGTCGAAATTTTGTAGCTTTGATGATGTTGGTTCTTCTCCAATTGAGAGGTTCGTAGGGCTGGAGGTGGAGGTGGGGTGTCACCCATGTTCAGCCACCGAGGGGCTGTGCTCTTAATAAGATATCCCAAAATGTTATCTCATTGGCTTTTGAACTCTGAGGCGAGGGACGCTGTGGCTAATCAAAATTGAAACTCGTGTTTGGCAGACTAAGCGGCCTTGTTGTGGAAAAAAGTGATGGTTCTCAGTAAGATTACCTACTTGATTGCATATATAGATGGTATATATGGAAGGGTGTGGTAAGGAGTACAGCGGTATATGGACATACGTACCTGCGAACACGATTTTTGCATATACAAATATTACAAAAAATCGCGAGCAAACGTAAGATCTCACTCATACAATGAGATTAAAGCCGTCGCCTGATAATACGGGTTCAATGATATATACTCTCTGGCATTGACTCCTCAAGAGAATGCTCGCCGTTCTCCGGGAGGTTTGCATCGCCGACTTGATGTGACAAGAACATAAGCGGGAACGAGCCAGCAGAAAACACAATTTCTAATGCTTGATGACATGTTGACGAGATCAATGGCTAGGAGACAATACGGTCGGTAAGAGATGTCTTCCCATATGGCGGAAGACTAGGAGCAGTGCCATGATATTCGGACGACTTGTGGTAATATCAAGGGAAGTCCCGGCTTGCACAGGTTTCAAAGTTGAGTAACTGGAAAAACACCTGTTGAAAGCAATAACACTCAGTCACCCACCAGTGGACAGTGATCACAGCAAAATGAAGCTGTACCCAAAAGAGAAACAAATAAGATGCTGGACCACTGAGTAAATGGCGATGAGGCGAGGTCCAATTAATTCGGCATAGGTTCCAGCAACAGTTGCAGTTGTTGCGCACAGATCGCTGGGCTGTTTTAAAACGGCGCGGGGTCATATCGGCAAACAAATGAATCGGTATCGACGATGCTCTTTGTAAATGCCATCAACTACCTACACTTCCTCCAAAAATACAAAATCAGAATACAACGCGGGTGTCTCAGGGCCAGCAGAATCCACACAGTTCTCTCAGAGAGTCTGAGAGAGGGAGGTCCCGTGATTGGTGTTTCCATTGGGAACTGCCCTGGTTACCCTGGTAATCCCGGCCACGCGACGCCACTTTAGGAGAGCCTCGGGCGTTTGTTTACATTGAGCTTGTGTTGAAGCTAGATTGAGCCGCACTCCGCACTCCGAGCATCTCCACTCCCAGCATTCTACTTACCTAGTACTGGTAACCTTGCCCTCCACCTCCAACATCGCATTGCCAGTGCAAATTACAAATTCCACCCCAAGAGCTCGACCCCACCACAGGCACCGCAGGCTGAAGCCTCTGCCAGACACTCATCATGTCTCCCCCTCGCCGTCGGTCTTCTAGACTCAGAGGAACTCCCAAGGTAGGTCCCAGGTCCGGATAAACAAACCACCACCACCACCAGATCTGTCTTTTGGATTGTCCACTAACAGCACCGCTCTAGCCATTCCAACATGTCGCCAGCAACCTCGGATCCCTTGAAGAGCGCGAGGAGACTCCAAACAGTGCCCGATTCAACTTGGACTCCTCTGCTTCCTCTCCCCAAGGTCCGCAGACTCCAGCAACCGCTCCCCCCAAACCATCGGTCCAGGATATGCATCCAAGCAGAACCCACCAAAGCACAACTAAAGAGCCGGACTCTGGTCTGCGACTCGGTTTCACCAACATTCAGAAGAGAGGAGACGACCAGCCATCAGGAGTTGCGCAGCAATCCCCCACCAAGGCTGGAATCTCTGCAACCTTTGATTTCAGATTTGCTCGGCCCGGTGCCCAATTGGGTTCTGAGGCCCAGCGAATGATGGATGAGTTGCGTGAGGAGGCTCTCAAAATCAAGGCCAAGATGGCAGCTGAGAGAGAGCTAGAGAAGCGTCGGTTGGAAGAAGAAGAGAGACAGGCAGGTGGCAGCGCAGTCGCCGGTCGTAAGTTTGCAAAGCCAAAGGACAAGGCCGGCCGGTTCAGCGACGTACATATGGCGGAATTCAACAAGATGGATTCGATCGCTGGACACCCTTCCTCTTTCCGAGCACAACCAAATTACGCAAAGCCTACAGGCAGCTTGAAGCGTACCCAGTCGAAGGCCAATTTAGATGATGGAGAAGAAAACAACACCCTTCCTCAGTCGCGCAAGCCACAGACTTCCGATCGTCCTGAGAACGCAGCTCCTGCCAAGCGCGCGCGTAAGGCTATGGCCGATGATGCTTCGTCATCTCGCCTTGTTTCCAGAGGTCGCATCCCAAAACCATCCACGCCAAAGCATCCCCGTCCAGCAAACTTCCTCGCAGCCATCTTAACACCAACTCAAGCATCTCTAGCTCGCTCAGCTGCTGTCAAAACTCCTAGCTCTCAAATTCCTACTCTTGCCAGATCACCCTCCAAACCAAACCTCGTAAGTGGTATCGCTCGTCCTCTGCCAAAGTCTGCGACCAGCGACAATATCTCTACGCTTCCGCAGTCTTCATCGAAAGCTACTCTGCGGAGCCCTAGCAAATTTGAGCGTGTCAAATCCATTCTTCGAAATGTTAGCAGTCCAGGCAAGAAGCAAGTCGCCCCACAAACTTCTATGCCGTCTCTACGCAGAAGTCCCAGTAAGCCTGATCTCGCATCGGCGTTTCCAAAAGCTCCTACCACCCCAATTCGCCCAAACACTGCAACAGGTCAAAAGCAAGTCAACTTTGCACCTGACACGGCCAATGATGCACAAGCAGCTGTCTTGCAAAACTCTCCCTCGCCGATGAAATCTGGAATACCTCGCTCGGCCTCTAAACCCAACTTGAAAGGCAAGGCAATTGACGGCACCACAAAGTTGACACAGGACAAAGTATTTCATCCGTCGATCGTTTCAACTCCCAACTCAGTCCAGCGATCTCACGAAGTAGAGTACCCCTCCCTCTCTGGCGTTCGGCCCCTTCCGTTGACCAAAGAGGCTGTTCCTGCGCGTCCTCCGCCTTCAGTCCCTTCAGAGTTCACATTCCGTAGTGATCATACCATTAGCTTCGGAGCATCCCCCAAAGGATTCGGAGCAATTTCTGGTCAAGCTAGTGTCCGTCAAGTCCGTCCCAGTATCGCGCCTTCCATGCCAGGAAGCTATCCCGAATTCAACAAAGAGAATTCAAAACCACTTCCCTCTGTACCGCATGGTATGGCGAACAAGAAGCGACGACGTGCAGATTCGGACGACGAGAACGATGAAGGTGCTAAGCGATCCCCCAAAAAGCAAAAGGCGGAAGTTGCTGAGGGTGCTATGCTCATGGCCCCAAGACTCATTGCTACCCCCAAGTCAAAGTTGCCCACAAGTCCGGCGAAGAAGGGTGTCTTGAGTTTGAGTCGTCTTAATATGCTTGCCCGACCAAAGATGCGAAAGTAAGTTGAGGTGAGATTTACGATACAATGTCTGATGATGCGCCTTCTTCGATGTTTTGCACGCCAGTAGTGGTTTACTTCGTTGTTTCGAGGATCGCGGCAGTTTTTGATATTGTGCCTTGGAGAATAGGAAATCACGTTTGTTGTCCGTTGCATATGGACGGTTGCATTAGCGCTGTGCTATATCCTAAACTGTTAGGATCCATGGCCGATTTCATTCGTGTCGGAGTTTGATTTCGTTACATATTTTATTACGCCAAAAAGCCCGACTTGGTTCAAGTGTTCATACTTCATATGAACCTTTCTTTACATATTGTCGCCTGCCCACCTCTGCTCTGCCGAGTTGATTTTTCCTTTGTATGTTTTTCACCGATGGACTCTTCTCATGATGTAGTGGATAGTAGCTCCTTCCCAGTTGTGCTCCTTCTGAGCTTCTGCACTGGCGAGACATATTGTCAATACAAAACTTTAAAAAAAGATCGCTCCCATCCATACTTTTCTGGACGTGCCAGAAAAGTATTAACTCGCTGCTGGTTTTATTTTTAAAGTGCAGTTCACCATGACCTAAGCTGGCATCGTTTCATTTACCTCGGAACCATACTTATGCTTCTTGTAGTTATTATTATATTTTCACGACACCAGTTGAACCTAACGGAGAAGGCAGGCTCCATGCCCCTACGCAGCATCCCTTGTTTCCTAGACCTACGATCCAACGAATTCAGACCGCAATCTTTGATCCTTCTCATACCATGTCCGCTTCTCCCGCCTGTACTAGCGCCTCGTCCACACAAACACAAGGGGCCAAAATAAACAACGAGACTATCGATATTACCACCAAAGAACCACCCTTCATCTGCACCATCTGCTGGCAAACCCAATTTTCCGGCTCGAAACCCAAATTACTCGGCACATCGGCTCGCATCGTATGTAAGGATTGCTGGCGTGCGGTCCTGGATCTGAGCATCTGCTGGGTATGTGGGGAGTGCATTGTGAGGGGGGATGAGGTTGTTAGCTTGGGGTGGTGTTTTTGGCATAGGGCGTGTTTTGGGTGTTTGGTTTGTGGGACGGGGATGAATGTCCCTTCTCCCATTGTAGATGATGGAAAGGGCAAGGATGGGAGTAGTCAGAAGAGTGAGGAGGACGGGTGTGGGAAGGAGGGAAAGTGGGGGAAGTGGGAGTATGAAGGCGGGAGGAGACGGAGATGTGTTGGTGTTGAGCTGCTGGAAATTCCGCTCTGTACCGTTTGTGTTGTGGAGACAGAGGGAGAGACAAAAGGGGATGTGCTGAGAAGGGGTTTGGAGGCCGTTAGTCGGTTTGATGGGGGCCTGAGTCGGGAGAGATTGAAGATGTTAAGTGAGGATGGAGATGGGGGAGAGTTGAAGGTTAATAGGAGGAGGAGGTTACAAGCCTCTAGAAGACCGCGAGCTAGGACTTGTGAGATGGGGTCAAAGAATCCTGGAGGATCGGTGCGTCTCCTTCTCGTCTATCACCTCGTAAACAACAACTTGGCTAATTGTTGCAGTGTGCTTGTTCGGCCTTTGAAGAAGATCGCCTTCCTTTGCTTGAGAATGCTGCCGCCATGGGATTTAGTGTCGGTCCTGGAAGTCCAGGTTCCGATACTCATTGGCATAGTGATTCGGAAGCAGCAGATCTCGGTCAGATCGAAACAGATCACCCAAGACCTGGAGTATACGTTTCGGTCTTTGAGCCCTTCAACGAGCTTCTTTTCACACAGTCAACCCCCAAGCCCCTGCCAAAATGGAAGAACCTTCCCGATGATGCCCTCAGGGCACAAAAGAGAAGAAAGACTGAACCGCAATATAAAGGCTCTACCATGGTTCGAGAAACGACTTATCTAGGCCCGGGTGCTCATTTCATATCTGGCAATGGCTCCCACAGTTCATATGAAGACCCATCAGAAACAGCAGTACCAACAAGGAAGAATTCCAAACCCCCAATATCTCCACCGTTGACTCCGAATGTATCAGTCCAGGAAACCAACCAGGAGCATGAAGGAGAAAGTCGCGAAGGACACATCCGCAATCGGAAACGAAAGAGTTCTTCGATTTCCTTCCATCCAAAGATCACCAGAGATTGCATCCTTGTAGAACCCGACGAGAGGGCTCACAGGCATTCCAAAATTGTAGGAGTTGCCGCCTCTCCAGGAATATCAACAGCTTTGCCGCCCAGAGAGAGGACACCCTATCAGAGCATTGAAGATACGGATGCAAACATGTCTCCTAAATATTTTGCTAGAGACGCACCTGCGTTACTAGGAAAATTTACTGAAGAGACTGGTAGAAATAGGCGTTCCGCCGCTCCTTCTCCAGAACCTCCACCCACCATTCTCGCATCAGAACTGGCGGGGAAATGGTCTGGAACTCCCTCGACCAATAATTCTTATACCCCTGATGCTTTCGTGAGCCCCGATCCTATTCCCAATCCTTTTTCGACTCCTGGGGTTGTCAGTCCCGTCCCAATGCCTCCAGTTCGAGTCCCTCTTCTCTCTAAATCCATGGACGATCTTGAATGTTACGAGCCTGACTCCCCAGACTCAAAAGCGGAAAGAGATACGAAGAGTCCGGCTGAGGATGATTTACAGAAGATCAAGGTGGAGAAGACGAGGATGTTGGATAGGGAGCGTTGGGAGGAGAGAGTGAGGGAAAGAGAGAGGATATTTGGGGAAAAGCAGCGGGAGGGCTTGGAGAGGAGAGAGAAGCGGTCAATGGAGGCGTTACACATGGAGTTGACGACGCTTTTTGCTGAGAAGGGAGGGGAGGGGAAAGTGAAGATTTTCCAAGGGGATGGGTCGGAGATTGAGAATGGATCCAGTTGAGTTTGTGTTGTTATGAGAGGTGGGTGAGATTGTTTGCTGAAGGCTGCAACATTGAGGACAGGAATTTGTATTGGAGGGGTGATGGCTTCTATACACCTATTACCTAGATTAAATGTTCGATATTGAATGAAGGAATTGAAATGGTACGTGATTCCTGAGGCTCTGGAAGTATAAAGCAATAGTGATCTTGTTACTGTTACTATTCACCTATCTTGACGAGACAATATGTACAATAGTAATAGCGCGTTTTGCGAAGGGCAATGACAAAATCAATCTTGATGAGTTGAATTTAGCAGCGTTGGAGAAGTCGTTGGCGTTAAGAAACGGAAAGCCACAATGTGGCTGAGAGAAAGGGTTGATATTCCGATGAAATCCCGGCGCAAGCACTACAACCATAGCCTTTCATCTTTCCAAACTTCCCTCACAAACAACAATTATACAAACACAATCATGGCTCCTGTTGGAGGATCATCCGAACATGATGTTGTCGAAAGTAAGATGCAAATGTCATTTCCAAGTACCTTTACTAATCAAAATAAAAAGAACAGGTCAAGGAGATCATCCAGGATCTCTACCAAGTCATGGTACAAATCCAAACCTACGGCACCGCAGGCGTACCAACAGCAGGCGTCCTAGAACAACAAATGTACCTCCCTCATTCCATACAATTTCTCGTCTCCTCGCTCTAACATATCCAGGATTGATGTCTCCTCCTCTCTCCAGAAAATACACGCTTCCACCTCCACTGTCCCATCTAATCAACCTAAAGTCAAGCTCCCCTCTATCCCACCAGAGTTGTTCAAATACGTCGATAGCGGTCGCAATCCAGACATTTATACGAGAGAGTTTGTGGAGTTGACGAGGAGGGGGAATCAGTTGATGAAAGGGAAGGAAGAGGCCTTTGGGAGTTTTCGGGATGTCCTGGCGCAAGAGATGGTGAAGGGGATGCCGGAGTGTAAAGAGGATGTTAGGAGAATTCTGGAGGAGACTGGGGGACGAGGGGGTTTGGTTGATGGTTAAGAAGGGGGTCTTTTGAGCGTGGTGGGCTCCTTTGAAAGTGATGAAGGATGTGGCTGGCTTTTCTGGTGTAATTTTTGTCGCGGAGAATCTCAGGCTGCTGAACCCTTGCTATGCGATCACCCAGAATACTTGGGATTTACAGTTCAAGGGCAGAACTTGAGGGATTAAGGTCTGGAGTTGGCGGTGGATGGGGCGTTTGAGGCATTGTGGGCGTTTGGGATAGGCGTCTGGAAATTTGGTATCTGGTGCAATCTCACCAACTTATTGCATGGAGTATGTTCAGAGTCATCATCAGAATAGGCAATAAAATCTATTAGTAAATGTTTGGGTTTCGCGCCATACAAGGTGTTGCTGCGAAATCAGTTGTTTATTATGTATCAAAATGATGACTGAGTACGGAATTGGTATCGTGGTTCTCATGATTCCCAGTCGATCTCTTGCTCAGTTTGTGCTTCCCTCCCCAGTATCTCTGGTCCTCCGGAAATATTGGTAATACGTGGGGTTTTCACCTTGACAGTACTCCTACTCAGGATATGTTTGAGGATCTCGATGTTTCAGGCGGCTTCACATATTTACATCTTAAGTTTGTCAAATTATTTTTTGCTGGCAATCTTGTGAAAGCGGAATTAGAAGGACCAAGAAGCATACATTTGGTTCTCTCAAGTTTACTTGCACAATCTCTTAAGGGGATTTCAACATATTGGGTGAAATATCATGTGTGTAAGAATCGACAGATCTGAGGGCTAGCGCTCATAGAGTCGCACAAGACCACATAAGTATTCAGCACTGTTATGTCTTGTGACAATGGTGCTTATTTGGTCCACGCAGCCTCGAAAGATTGAAGGTGCTTATGTAAGATCTTACAGGCGTGAGTCGATCCCTCAGTCTTTCCTAGCTTCAACATGCTACACGATCAGCCATCTACTTGGTTCTTCCTTTGAAAGGTAATCCCATGGTCTCTGGAAAACCATAGGTCGTTGATCTGCAGCATCTTCAAGGGAACCCTCAAAGTTGAGTGATATACAGAAAAAAAAGGCTGCGTCTTTCAAATCAACCGTTGAGCCCGCAAATTGAAATCGTAGGGACAAGAGCAAGCAGTTACCCTCGAAATTGAAAGCCTGGAGCTCTTACCTTGGTAAGAGAGGCGAGCATTGCTCTGTACACGCTATCAAACGTCGTTGTGCCAAAAGTCTGGCACAACTTAATTAATTGTCCTATTTCACCTAGCACAATAAGACTCGGAAAGTAACAGTTGCTCTAGACTATTCGTATAATTGATTTAGTTGTGTGAGGTCTTTTAGATAATATTTACATAACTCAGGTGTGTACAGAGTAATGCCCGCCTCTCTTACCTAGTATCGATAGACCACTGAGTCTACCGAGGGCTCGCGTCGCAACGCCCGCGTCTATTGCCGCCCCGCCCAAACAAAGGAACCAAAGCCCCACTCCGCCGCAAATTTCAATTGAAATAAGGGAACCTGCTTTCAACAAAAACCATTCCTCAGCCCAGTGGAAGATCGTGTGTAGGCCTCCGTTGAAGTTTAGCTGCAGGGGGAGACCTGTCTTGTATGAGCGGGAAAGAACGAGAGAGGAGAGGATGGCTGCTAGGACCTCAAGCTGCATCGGTCTGTCTGCTTCTTTTTTTGCGTTTTTTTATTCCCTGATTCTAGTCAAGTTGAGGTTTTTGACCTTTTTTTGGTTGTTGATGTGGTTGTTTTGTCTAAGCGAGGTGGAAGTGGAAAAGCGGCATTGGATATTCTGCCTGATTCTGGTGGTTGGGTTGGCTAAAATGGCAAGATTGTGCCACCACCCACCCTGCCAACAGAATTGGTGCGTTTGATTCAAAGCTAGATGGCCATGAACATATCTACAGAAACCATAATTGGATGTAAGTGTAATCTTACCAGTTTATGATACGATTTCTGGGACGCCTGCATAGATTCATTGTTGTAGAACGATAGAGTCTGACCATTTTATCTACTCTGCCACTTTTAGACTTCTGCCTGCAGCTGAGATATCTTCAGCCACTCAAAGCAGAGGTAATTTATTCGTTTGCGTTCCAGGAGATTCTTGAAGTTTGATCTGGACCTGAATGTAAGTTCCGAAGTCCATACCTTGATTTCCCCTCGGGGTAAGTCGGGAATCGACACTGCTTTAGCGGTCTGGTTAATCGCAGTCTAGGTTATAAACACAGGAAGGATTTTGATACTCAAAAACTTTGTAGCTCTCATTGGCCCACTGACAACAAGCTCGGTACTTTGATAGGGCGGAAAAATCATCCATCACTACAAAGTTTGATTGGAGAGCAATTTTCAATGGCTGCTGAAGGGATATGGGCGATTATTACTCCAGTATTACCCTTCGATATAATGTTGATGTTACGGTAATCAGCTTGTTATCAATACTTAGACGGTCTTTGATTAATCACTGAGAAACATCTGGGATGTAGAGCCATTTCAGCACTGAAACTAGGATGTTTCTGTCTGCATATCGCCGTTGCAGTTATTCATTAGAGGTGCATTAGTTTCCACATGGCGAAAAATCAAGAAATTAGTGAACGTAGGGAACTGAATTGTTGAGTACTCAAGACTTGAGTCAACCTCAACCCACACTTGAATGCGGCCACACTAATTTCCTCCTTTACTCCTGCCAAGAACTTCAGCAACTCTTAACTCGTCTGCCTAACCTGCGTCTGAATTGATTGAATGCAGTGACCTTCTTCATCTTAGTGAATTACACCTGGCCCTCAAGGTTCCACAGAGATATATTGCCACAATGTAGTGAACTTTTGTGTGTACTTTTTTTGCTTACTAAACAGAGCAAATTGTTCCAAAGGAAATTCACTACCTCAAAAAGCGTCGTTGACTAACTCTTGTGATTAAAATGCATTTTTGTATATCAAAGCAGTCAAAGAGTCTGTAAGCCAACTACCATATTATGTATCATCTTACAGAGCGAATACTGTTTCATAAGTAATGTGTTCAGTCAGAGATGCATGCGCAAAAGCCACAACTTCGCTTATCATGTAACCTAGTAAAACAGTTCTGCTCCGATACATTCTCTATTGTATCAGAGTTACACAATGGTATCTTCTAGAGACATGACGTCACCCAAGATATATAACCGAAATGACTCAAAGAAAGATGCGCAATTATATTGCTCAACACCTAAACTCACAAGAGCCGCAATACCTAGTACCAGTTACACAACCCCACATCTACATGCATACAACCAATACTCGATTGATGGACGCGCACCCGTCAAAATTGCATGATACATGAAGCAAACCCCCGGCCCGATCGCCAGCAGTTAACGGTGTCCCGATTGAGCTAAGCGAACCAATTGTTGGTGCCCACTTTGAGCCAGTTGAGATTCAATCCCCTCACAACCTCACCCTCGGTCTTTAACTTCTCCCTAATCCCCCGCTCGGCACAGGTATTCTCACACCAGGGATACTTGAATATCTCGATACCTCAACTCTTGTTCGGATATACACGCATTGAAGCCCTTTTCTTTTTCATTTCCAACATGCTCACGCTCCCACTCTTTAGTACTGGCTATTCCAGCCTCGTCGCACCGTTGGTGGGACTCGGTGTTGTCTACTGTGTTGTGCTTGTATTGTATCGTCTTTATTTTTCGCCGATTGGTCGGTTCCCTGGAAGCAAGATTGCGGCGGCTACTCTTTGGACCGAGTTTTACTACGATGCTATCAAGCCTGGTCAATTTCAGTTCAAGATTCGAGAGTGGCACGAAAAATACGGTAAGCACGCGTGACTTGGTTTGTAAGAGAGAGGTACTGATGTTTTCCAGGTCCCGTTGTACGGATTAATCCTTATGAGTAAGTCGATTTAATGTCATTAACCGTTGGTGCTGATCGCAGCTGCTCCTGCCCTTGAGATCGAGAGTTCGCTGTCTGTACGCGTCACAATGCCAACCAGACTTTTCAGTCATTGAGATATAAATTCTTCAGAAATGGCTAACAGACAAACCACAGGTTGCATGTAGATGATCCAACGGGCGACTTCTATGGGATCGTCTTTTCCCACTCAGGCATTCGCGACAAGCACCCATTCTACACTGCTCAATTTGGCACCGGCAGCACGGGATTCGGAACGGTTTCTCACGAACAACATCGTGTCCGTCGTCGTGCGATGAATCCCTTCTTTCAATACGGCAACATTCTTCGATTTGAGCCCGTCATCAGAGAAAAGCTCAACAAACTCTGTCGAAGAATCGATGAGTACAGATCCTCTGGCCTCGGAGCCATGCCCATGCGAATTGTATACATGAGTTATGCTACTGATGTTATTACTTCGTTTGCCTTCAATTATAGCTGGGACCATCTTGACAGTTCTGATTTTAACCCTTGGTGGTGGCAGACTACTCAGAGCACCGCTGCCATGACGAAATGGACCAAGCAGTTTCCCTGGCTCCTGCCGACGCTTCAGAGTTTGCCCGACTCTTTTGTCGCGGCTCTGAATCCGCCACTTGGATTGGTTCTTAAAATGCAAAACGCAAGTTCCCCCTTCCCTTCCCCCCCTTTACGTTTTTGGTATGCTAATCCAATTTCAGAAACTCAGAAAGATAGCAGAAGAGATTTTTGCTGGTCGAGATGAGAAATACGCGTACTACTCTGATGGCTCTCCACGTACGCTTTTCCACGAATTGCTGAAGAGTGATTTGCCAGCTCAGGATAAGTCGGTCAATTACTTGTGGCAAGAGGGCCAGAATGTCATTGGTGCTGGTGCTGATACCGTTGCGCTCGCTTTGTCGACTACGACTTATTATCTACTGGCGAACCCCGAGAAGGCCAATAAGCTAAGAAAAGAGTTGGCAACTGCACAAATCGGTAGAGATACGCCATTAAGTCTGGTTGAGTTACAGCAACTCCCTTACTTGGTACGCACCTTCCACCCTCACTTGAAGTAATCTTGGCTGTTTGGCTAATCTAAAGTTATAGAACGGTGTTATAAACGAAGGTCTCAGGTGAGACACCCCTTTTATATCGCTTGAGATTTGCAAAAGCTAACAAACCCCGAGATTCTCCTACGGTACCTCATGTCGTCTCACCCGAACAGCCCCCAATCAAGTCTTAAAGTTCCAGGATTGGTCCATTCCTCAAGGAGTAAGCACAAATTCACCTAATCATATTTACTTTCACTAACCAAAAGAACTAGACTCCAATCTCAATGTCCTCCGTGATGCAACACCACAACGAAAACATCTTCCCAGACTCCCATTCCTTCATCCCAGAACGTTGGAGCGAGCGCGAAGACGGCGGAAAAGGACTAGAGAAATACATGGTTTCATTTTCCAAGGGTTCGAGACAATGTATTGGTATGGGGTATGTACCGAATTCCAATCTTCATAAGCACAAAACCCCCATACATCCACCCCCAAAAAATACTGGTAAGTTTTCTTGCTAACCAACAACTTCCTACTAGTTTCGCAAAAGCAGAGCTCTACCTCACAATCGCGATAATCTTCAGCCGCTACCCTAACATGGAACTCTTCGATATGGACTTCGATCGCGATATCAAGATGGTATCCGATATGTTCTTTCCGCAACCTAGCAAGGAGAGTCGCGGCATAAGAGTCTTGTTCAAGGACTGAATGTTCTTGCTCTTAATGAATGTGCACGACGGTTTATGAGATGAAGGATTTCTTGATTTGGACGCTGGCAGTGCTGGCTTGGTCGTCTATCGAAATTATGCGTCCAAAACATTTGGCACCGCAGGGCCTTTAGGCTCTTGCTATTAGAAACCTAACAGGGTTTTTGCTAGGATGATAGATGCGTCCTAGAGTTGAATCCGCCAACAGGGTTGGTAATAGTAAAATTAATTTGCTGTACTTTCTTGATGACCAATCGCTGAAAGCCTGTGTTTTGTGATTACTGCTTGGTAAATTTGTGTTTTTGAAACACTGACAAGAAGACTCCATTCTGTTGCAATAGTTATATCGCAGTATTTTCTTTAGGTGTTTAGGAAATATTTACCAGATCTTACAGACTTACAGGCATGATTTAGACATGAGATGTCCGAATCTTCTTGCCAGACATACATATTGATGCTCTACACAAGTTTTATTGTTACCGAGTCCCCGTAGACGGAGTAGTCGATTATGATTATGTTCGACGAAAAAGTGCTTGGTTCTTAGATATATATTCAAACGAAATCTTTTGGAAAATCTCAACGAAACCACCAGTACCAGCAAGCAAAATAGCACAGAGACAAGGACAGGGTTGGACAGAAGAACAATATGGCGTAAAATGCTCATCAGAATTAACTCTTTAAAAATAAAATAATTATAATACTATAACATAAAGGCCATAACATTCAGTCATCACGCATCACCTCTCAAACTGTTCCCTCATATCCTACTCAAAACACTAATGCCCTTGCTGCGACCGCACTCGTAGTAACGTTACCAAGCACAATGCCCTCTTCATTAACCTTCGTAGCCCACGTGCTCTTCAAGCCCCATATAGCAACACTGACAGCCACATCCTCGTTCAACCCAGCGGTCTTGAGAACCATGGTATCCAAAACTCCCTCGGGGTAGAAAGTCATCGTTCCCGTGCTTCGGCCGTGATCCAAGAACACCTCGAGGATCGAACGATCAAGCACTCCCTCGAGAGTGAAAGTTCCGTTGGCGTTGATTGGGTTGCCAATACTGTATTTGTCGGAGAAGAAAGGGTTGATTTCACCGAATCCCAGGACTTTTCCTCTGTTCATCCAGAAAGGATTGTCGCCACCAAAGAAGAAACCCCCTGAGATGGACTCTTGAGTTGAGGAAGAGGAGAAAGTGAAGTTGAGTGTTCCTTTGGAAAGTGTGATGTTAGGAATATTAGATACGTTGCATTGGAAGAAGATCGCTCCGCTGTCCAAAGATGAATAATCAATCAGGATTGATCCGTTACCCAGACTTGAGTTCTGAGCAAGTGGTGTCTCGAGAACTGGTGCAAGGTCGACAGGAACATCGAGCATATCCCATCCAGTTCGTTGGACCTTTGCGAGCTTGGTGCGACGAGGAAGTGTCATGGCAGAGCGCCACCCTTCCGAGGATCCTGTGGGTATGACTTGAGCATATTCCCAATTGGATGCCCATCCGATGTAGATTTGCTCTTCAGTTGGTGGGATACCGTAGAAGAATTGGCCGGCATAGTTGTCCTTGGAGAAGTCGGAAATGCGGGCAGCGTTATCGAGGGGGGTGAAGTGTGTACCGTTGAAGTCTCCGATGAAGTACTCTTGGATTGATCCTCCAAGTGGCGCACCTGGGTTGATGGAGATGGCGAGAACCCAAGCGGTAGTTCCGCCTTCAACTGGCATTTCGACCAAGCTGGGGCATTCGTATTGAAGACCAAGTAACCCATGGCTGGTGAAGTTGGAAGCATGGGTCCAACTCTTCAAATCAGGGGATGTGAAAAAGCCAATAACGAATTCCTGGGAATAGGCAATAACCATAACCCACAGATCGCCATGCCTGATAACCTTGGGATCTCTGAATTGAGTGGAAGCGGGGCTCAATGTCAAAACTGGGTTTCCGGAGTACTTCTCAAAGGTGTATCCACCATCGACAGACCATGCGAGATCTTGAGTTTGGGCAGTTGGGGTGTTGGTTGTGTAGATTGCAACTACACCGTTGTCTTGGTTGGGGAAGAAGCCGGATGTGTTGTTTACATCGATCACGGCACTACCCGAGAAGATTTGAGAGTTCTCGGTTGCGAAGATAGCAATCTTCTGGTTATCCCAATGATATAAATCTTTGGAAGTGGCGTGTCCCCAGTGCTGGTTTCCGGCAACTGTGGCTGATGGGTTGTCTATACACAGTAAGCGGCTGACTTGGAAGAAGTAGAGGATGAGTTATACATTGGTAGTACATATGATATGTTCCATTGGCGTCCACGAAACATCCATTGGGGTCATTCATGAAGCCCGAAGGAGGGGAAAAGTGAGTCTGGGGTCTCCAAACACCATTATAATCTCCAGGCAGCGGTTTGTCGGTTGGTACACCGGCACCGAAGGTCGTGGTGGCGCTTAAGGTAGTCGAGGGGGACTGGGCCACAACGGCCGCAGCCATGAAAAGTGCACCGAAAATCATGATGAAAAAAGTACTGCGAAGGACTTTTCTTTTTCTAGGCAAATTTGGAGACCCCACGAGAAGAAAGCTGGCATTTTCGACAGAGCTAGAGGTCAAGTATATATACCATTTCCTGTACAGGGTTGCCCAGAAAAATTCGAGAAAGCTGCATGGATGAGCAGTTAGAGTGAACCTTCTCCATCCCCAACTCCGTCGTTCCCCCGCTTTTCCAGGGCCAATTCCGACCCCAAGGTCCCAAGGGTCCAATGATCAATGATTGCCCAACCTCCCCAGATGCGGGGATGGGGAGGTGGATGCTTAAAATTTTACGACATTTTTTGATCCATTGACAAGGGAAGGGATATCGGTTCAAACCGAACGGCACAGGAGGCTTTATGTCGGCGCGACTAAATGAACGAATGGTTGGCCGCGTGGAGGGACAAATCTGCCATGCCGTGCACGCATCGAACATGTTGAGCGTGGTGATGAACGTCATTGTCTCTGCAACATTTGGCCTGGCAAACATTGGCACTGGTATAGTAGTGGAGCCCTCGACTGAGATTGACGAGGCGATGCCTGTTTAGGGAAGCCTGTTGATGTTGACTTGCCAGATTCCCGGGCGGAAAACTGGAGGGAAGCCAAGCCAAGGCAGCTTTAAGAAGGATGGAGACCGAAAGTGGGTATGCCCCATTACCATCGAAGGGAGGAGTCTAGGAGAAGAGAAAGACTTACTCGGGTACGGGGCTTGGGTTGGATGCGGCGGTGCGGAGGAGGAAGAAACCGCTCCGACTCCAGCCGACCGTGTTTGTTTTTCTATGGCTCTTGCTCTTGGTACTCCGCAGAGTACTCCAGCTGTGGACAAGTAGAGTGGCCGTAGATGATTCTCATGGCTCTGTCTCTCGAGAGCATCTGCGTAGCGCTTTTAGCCCTCAGCAAACCGAACTCATGGCCCCAAGATAGCTGCATGAGGTACTTCCTCTACCTACGGCACCTCTAGGTACTTTCGATATGTAGGTCAGTCTTACCTGGAATAATGACACATATTATCCCAGAAAGAAAGTTCAGGGTGGCATAGCTTATTGAAAGGCGGAATTCACAAACCACGGTACTCTCCAGTTGCTCGCGCGGGCCCAATATTGGGTTGCATCCGCTCATATGTGACGAGAAATCGATACGATACAGAGGGTAGAATGAAAGAAAAACCAGTATAAGGGGAGACCTGGTCGGAATGATCTGGAGTTGGTAGCACAGCGGATATACCGCGTACAGCTCCAAATGAAGGACAATGCAAGTGTAGCCAGGAAATAACAAAGAATTGCTTTCAGACAATTGGGATATAAATTGAAGCTGGAAGACCACGGGAAAAGAGGAGATGGGACTAATAGAAGCATACGACTTATGACTTGGGAGGAATCTACTGGGAAATGCCAGTTGATTTCTCTCAAGTATGTGGTTGTCGGTGAGGACTGGAAAAGAAAGAAGCGCACACACTCCATTTCCGACTCCCAGCCATCTGTTTTTCGCTTGTTTGGCAAAGCGAGTCGCGAAGACGGCCGTGGTGATGCAGGCTGGGAATGCGCACAAAGTCGGGTCCAAATACCTCCGTATACCAAAGAGTACGGAATAGGCATAGACATAAATATAGGCATAGGCATAGGCATACAAGTCATTATCAAGTAGTTGTCCATCGCGATATCAAACCAAATGTTATTGTGTACCTTGCAGTCAAAAGCACTTTACGCGCCTGCGATGCTCTCACCGCCAATCAACTTTCACTCGCTTCCCCCTGACATGGACGCGGGCCAGTCGGAAGAGCCCCTTTCGCATTTCGCGGTACATTCTGCTTCATAACATCATAACAACGCCCCTCATTTCTATACCTTTATTGCCAGATTGGGCCATTGTTTTTGATGCTTTGGATGCTTTGGACGCGGCCTTGCATGGCCCCTCTCCCCGAAGGTAAAAAAGTCGCGATCTTAGTGTTAGTGTTGTCTTCTCTCAGAGACCAAAAACGCGACGTGCCAGCTAAATGGCGATGGGATGGGCCCAGGAGACGTTGTTAGGGGGAGGCTAAACCATAGCCATAGGCACTCAATTCACTATGTCTTTGGCCTTCCGACTTCTTCCCCCCTTTCTGCTTGCTCACTGCTTTTCCCGCTATTGTCCCTCATCACAATTGCCTCAAATTGAATTGCGGTGCATTCACACGACCTTCGACCTTCGAGTGTTGAGAGCTGCTATTGTCAGCTGCTGTATTGTCCGCATTCGGCTAGCTGGGCGGCGTTAATCTGCTCCTCCCTACCCTGCCCGTCTGCCCGTCTGATCGACCCCAACCAAGTTCCGCGAGGACCACCACAACAAGACATCTCCATCAAATACATCCTCACCCCTCTGCGACGCTCTGCGTAACGACCGTCATACGAACTAGACCATCTTCTCTTGTTGATTCTGGAGGTGATAATGATTTGGTGAAGAACTGGGCTCTTTCCACATTGCGACGAAATAATTCGAGGCTGGGCGATCAAGATAGTAGGTGGCAGGGCAACAAAAAGTCAACAATTGCGCAATCCCCCACGAGCGCCGCAACAACGATACCAATTGCCTTGCAAAGCTTGGTCTGAATCGCAGACGCGGAAGAAAATCATTCGAGTAGTGTGGGGAAACAGACCGAGGACGAATTGAGCCGCACCTCGACCCATTAGCAAACGATCGTATCGTAAGGCCTCACCTTGGAGTGAGCCATCCGTCGTCGTCAAGATGGGCGCCAGCGAAGAGATCTTCAATTCCACCATCTCGCGCGCTCAATTCAAGGCCGCGAATGCTTTGAGTACGCCGCCAGTGAACACGCCACCCCGCACTTCGACCCCTCCGCTTCCGATGGGCACTGATCGAAGGAAGTCAGACAAGAGAGCATATGAAGGTGGTAGCTTGCGAGGAGAACGATCGACAGGAACCCCTGCGACTGACATAGATGCAACTGCTTTGAGTAAGCTTCTGAAAGAACATGAGGAGCTGGGAAGACCGCGAGATACTACACCTGGAGGAAGTCCAAGTAGGAAGCGGCAACGAGTATATGGTGACAGGTAAGAGCTTCTTTTCCAACAGAGACGGGAGACGCGAGCCTTGAATTTTAAATTGGGAGGGGAAGGAAGCAGACATGAGCTAGCAAAGTGGGGCATTGCGTTCCGTGCCTTTGATGCCGATATGCTTGAGCTACGGTCCGACGAGCTTCCCCTCAAAATAATTCACCAGCTCTTGATTGCCAAAGAACACAGGCTGACATGAATCCAGATTTATTCCCAACAGAGAAGGGCAAGATTTGCAAGCCAGTTTCAGTCTATTACACGACGACGGATCTCCAGCGACTCCTTCGAAGCTGAAGAAGCGCACGCCTCATGGCGAGCTCAATCACCAAAAGAGTAAGTCACCATAAACCCTCACTCCATCTATATGCTAACTCGTCACAGCCGAGGAAGCCAACAGAACGTTTTCAACTCTCCTTCGAGCCGAAATCTTTGATACTACGATACCACAACCCACACCCCCAAACCTCTCCCCCGAAACAAGCTTATTACAGACAAATAACTCGACAACCAGCCATGATCCTACAAGATCTCATACACCACCCAACAATGGATCTACCTCCTCTCTGTCTGTTTCCATGACGCCATCCACCCCTCATAAGAACCTCTTTACATACATGTCACCCAGACACAATACCAATATTGCTGGTCATCCCACGCCATCAAGAACACCTCAAAGCAGACACGGCCCTAATCTCAATGCTAGATCAGAGATGTATAGCCTTTCGCCGGTACGATTCGGAAGCCAACAAATGCTACTTAGTCCCAGGAAACAACCACGTGCTGTGAGCAAGGTGCCCTACAAGGTCCTGGATGCGCCTGATCTGGCAGATGATTTCTATCTTAATTTGGTCGATTGGGGAAGCAGCAACGTACTCGGAGTTGGTCTTGGAAGCTGCGTTTACATGTGGAACTCAACATCTGGACGAGTCAACAAACTGTGTGAATTACAAGATGACACTGTAACTAGCGTATCCTGGATCCAACGTGGATCACATATCGCTATTGGTACCGGAAAGGGCCTAGTTCAGATTTGGGACGCTGAAAGAATTCGCCGACTTCGAACCATGACTGGACATACTGCGAGAGTGGGGTCTCTGGCGTGGAACGATCACATTCTGACCTCGGGATCGAGGGATCGACTTATATACCACCGCGATGTGCGTGCTCCAGATCAATGGCTCAGAAAGTTGGTTGGCCATAAGCAGGAAGTTTGTGGTTTACGATGGAATCCAGACGACGGACAGCTTGCTTCTGGAGGGAACGACAACAAGTTGATGGTGTGGGATAAGCTCTCTGAGACACCACTTTGGAAATTCAGCGATCATACAGCAGCAGTGAAAGCGATAGCTTGGTCACCACATCAAAAAGGACTGCTTGCTTCCGGAGGAGGCACTGCAGATCGTCGAATCATCTTCCACGACACTCTTCGAGGAACGACTGTCAACGAGATTGATACCGGATCGCAGGTTTGCAATCTCGCTTGGTCAAAGAATTCCAACGAAATTGTGTCCACCCACGGTTACTCGCAGAACCAGATCGTGGTTTGGAAATACCCCAGCATGACCCAAGTCGTCTCCTTGACTGGCCATACTTACCGAGTCCTTTATCTCGCAATGAGCCCCGATGGTCGAGTAGTCGTCACAGGTGCAGGAGATGAGACCCTTCGTTTCTGGAACGTTTTTGGTCGCAAGCCTGGGCAGCGAGAGGAAGGTGACGCTGGAGGTGATGGTAAATTGGGAGATTGGGGCGTCATTAGATGAGGAACCCTCACGTCAAAAGAGAAAAACACCTACCACGAATTGCATGAAGTGATGAACATGGTGGGGGGACAACGGGCATTTGTTTTGCATTTCACTGGCGTTTCAAGGGGTTTTACCGGGCTAACTTTTGCCTATCCAAAATTTCTACGGAATTTGGACAAAGAAGATTTGCTTGGTTGCTAATGCAAGAATCATGGGATTGGCGTTCTATGGAAATCTTTGGCACGCAAATGAGCCCTTTTTAATTTTGCGTTTTTTTGCAGCGGATTCTAGCATTTGGCAGGCAAACTTTGTGCGAGAAAAAGAACAAACAGAATATGTATGGACTAGTAGTTAACATCAATTGGCTGAATCGAAGAAGCCGCCGAATGGACGTGGATTCATTGGATCGTCCATTTCGACGGTGAGAGATGTGTCCTCGCTTGCTCTTGAGGCAAGACGACGTCTCTTTCGCATTGTAACTCAGCTCAGCTAATTGAAGAAAAAATCAATAATTATATCCGAAAACAAATTGATGAAATAGATATCTTCCGTGACGCCTCTATGTGGTATCTCCATCGCTGCGTAAAACAAAAATGACAGGTAATCGCCTCCCCAAGACCATGAGAATCGTCCCTGGCCCTTTGTCTATTGAAAACTAGAACTGCGTACGACAAGAAAATTTGTGATATTATCGATCACCCCCGTTCCATAATCGTCAGTTCATATATAACCGGATAAGTCTCGAGACAAAAGTCATCTGCTATGCATCAAGCGGGTAAATCCCCAATTTTTCGCTCCGTAGCAACGACTGCCGCCCCTCCATCAATCCCCGTACTCCCAACCTGCTCACTCAAAAGCGGAATTCCATCCATCTTCTCTTGATCCATTTCCGCAGCCCCTTCGATCTTAGGCGTCATCAACGGGCTACTTGCGGTCCCGCCGGGACTAGACTGATACTTCTGGACCTCTCTTTGCAGAGCCTCCAACTCCTTTTGGAATCTCTTGCCGAAGACATCAATGTAGAATGTCGCACCGTTGTAGACAGACCAGCAGAAGAGAGCCATAAGGAAAGTGGCCGAGGCGTAGCGGTAGTAGAACCAAAGGGGACATGGGAGCATAGTGCTTACAGCGTAGGTGTATTGAATTAACATGAAGGCTGGTTCTTGTAGGGATTCAGGAAGGTTGAGAACAACTTTCCCGATGAAGGTCTTTGAGTAGGATTTTCGGAGCCACTGATCGATTGAGTTAGCAAAAAGAAGCTTTTCAAGTTTGGAAAACCGGGATGAAGTTTCGCCAGCCGCATGATATTAAAAAGACAAATGAGCGCTTACTGTAAATGAAGTCGGTCTTCCTGCCAAGATCTTCTCCCGGCGTCGAACTGTTATGAGAAAATGATAACTCAGTTGCCAAATAGCGTATGGAATGGTGGACCATAGTGTCATTTGCCCGAGGGTATAGTGTTCTTTGGAGCCGGGGAGTGACGTTTTAACGCTCCACAGTCCTGGGAATCGAGTTTGTTGGAATGCTGGATCAAGCAGATGCACGACCACATGCAGCGCTGCACACGGCATTATATGAATAAACAGACTGGTAACTTTGTCGAAGCTGTGAAACACCATCGAGTTTCTCCACATGGCAATGGCGACCGCATTGTTTCCAAAGGCGAGACAATATGTACTGATGAAAAGTCTCTTCGAGCCGGGAAAGACCCATATACTGAGGAAGACCATAAAATTAACGAAGTAACATAGATCTGCGAGGAAGTAATGGAAGCCCTTTTTGTGGTAGGTGTAGAAGCGGATTGGCATAAGATACAGTAGCTGGGCTGTGTACCACCAATGGAAATATTGAGGATATCCGCCAATCAGGTATCCAGATATCAAAACATTCGAAACACCACAGATGAATGATAGCTTTTCTCGAGCGGTGACTACTTTGGTATCGTTCCAGCGTTCTCCTAGTTTGTCGACACTACTGCGCATTCGCTTTCTATATTTGTCCAACTGCTCGTCGGCCGGAGGTACCCTTCTACGCCATTCTTCCACCACGCGATCCTTTGCATGCGAGCCCTTCGCCTGCAAGACCTGTCTCTGTCGCCGTACCTTCTCCGTCTGTGCTGAGATATTCCTCTGAAGCTTTTCCAGTTGTTGGGGAAGGGCAAAATTCTCCAGGATGTCGAAAACGGTGAGTCTCTCTAATGGTGGAAATGCCTCCCAATCCTCCTGATAGGAACTACTTCCAGAAACCGATGGATTTCGCGACAGCCTGTCCCGAGGGCTACCAGGAGTCGAGGGCTCGAGGATAGGTGATTTGCTTCCTTCGGGCGGCGAAACATCTGGGTCGAGGTCTCTGGAGTCGACTGCAGGCTCAGATCTGGAGTGTGGGATGGGGACTGAGTCCGACATTTCGGACAATGTTCGTTTATGAGCTTCAGTCGGACTGATTCCAAAAGAAATTCGACGTAGAGCGCTACTTCCTCTAATAACCATAGTATCAGCCATAGCTACTGTAAATTATATGCATGTGCATGCAAGAAGTGGTAGTTGCTGAAATGAATTTATAGCGAGAGAGTTTATGGAGAGGTGAACTTACAAGTACTAGTCTGATATTGGAGGTGCGCGTACCCGTACCGGTACTCGTGGATTTGCTCAAGTGATCAAAAGCGTCTATCTGCACGAGGCCACTGACTGTTGCTTGCAGTGTTTTGTATCTCTACGCCACACACGGATCGAAGTGGAGGTGCTTGTGATGATGCGGAATGTACAATACAGAGACGAGATGTAGCTTGTGGGAAGTTTATAGGCCTGAGGTCAGAGTAGTCAACTAACGACGGTTGTCGTCGAGAGAGTTCGGATCGTGGCCGTGTTCTGGTAGCTGATTCGTTCCCCGTCTTTGTCCTCGAGTGTCTGGTCCTGGCCGTGACTCTTCACAGATGATATCCCAGAGTCAGGTATAGTAGCTATACGGAGGTATGGTAAGAGGCAGGCTGATGGATGATTGTCATTCGTATTTATGATTGATTCCAAAAATGGGAAGTTTGGTGGAAGTGCAGTCATCGTTCTCCAAACATGGGACCCTCCATCGTCATTGGGTTGTTTCTCAGCCTTAGTTCTAGCCTTCTCCTCTGCCTTGCTTCGCCTGTACTGCGTTGGCGAATCCCTGTCGCTTTGAGTACAGATTCACTTCAGCTATATACTTACGTAATGGGCACGTGCTTGGCTAACCGCTACCTAGGTAACCGCCAACCTTGACCGCCAGAAATATCAGGCATCACCATGGATCAGTATCAGGCAACAATTATAGCCCGAGAAGCGCGGTCGCGTTCTCGACCTTGAGATCGCGTTTGATAATTCCACCAGTTCCCCTCCCCAACCCGCAAACCCTATTGATTGACTGCATGCCTTTGTCGGCGCATGTATCAGAGTATAATTGTGCAATCAGCTGAATCGGCGCTTCTCGAAACTGACACTGCCATTCAATCTCGGATTCTCCCAGCGCGTGCGCCCCTCCATCGTCAGACCGTCAACGACGCGTGTAGTTCAAGATGGGGAAGTTAATACGACTCGAGCTTTCTAGTATGCTGGTCGCATCAATCATGCAAAATTCTAGCTGACTGCTCTTAGATTTCAAGTCTTACAAAGGGCACCACATCCTCCTCTTCGGTGATTCCTACTTTACCTCCATAATTGGTCCCAATGGCTCCGGAAAGTCCAATTCGTAGGTTATTGAGTCCAAATTATAATCGCGCCTCTGACACATTGGACAGTATGGATGCTATTTCCTTCGTTCTCGGTATAAAAGCATCCCATCTTCGTTCGGCGCATCTGAAAGACCTCATTTATCGCGGCAGGGTGTTGAAGACCTCGAAAATCAACGACGATGGATCGGCCGCTGCCCCTGCAGCAAATGGACATGCCAATGGAGATGCAGATGGAGAGTCACAATCCCAGCCAGCCGCCCGAAATGACCCTAAAACCGCCTGGGTGATGGCAGTCTACGAAGATGATGCCGGAGACGAGCAGAAATGGAAGAGGCAGATCAACAGCAACGGTTCCAGTGAATATAAGATCAACGATCGGAATGTCACCGCGCAGCAATACAATGAAGCTCTGGAGGCAGAAAACATCCTGATGAAAGCTAGAAACTTCTTGGTTTTCCAGGGCGATGTGGAGGCGATCGCGTCGCAGTCACCGAAAGACCTCACTAAGTTGATTGAGTTAGTCTCTGGTAGTTTGGAATACAAGGCGGAGTACGAGCGACTGCAAGAAGAAGCAGAACAGGCAGCGGAGAACCAGAATTATAATCTCCACCGGCGCCGTGGTATCAACTCGGAAATCAAGCAATATCAGGAGCAGAAGAAGGAAGCAGAGGCATTTCAAAACAAGCAGGATGAGAGGGACGATGCAATAGTTCAGCACATACTTTGGAAACTGTATCATTTTCAACAAGTTATAGATGAGTCAACCTCTAGCATCAGCGAACATCAGAACAATCTGCAAGAGTTTCGACGGGGAGTAGCAAAGTATGAGACCCAGCTCGAGAACGCACGCAAAGAATCAGCAGAAGTGTCTAAGAAAGTCGCGAAGGTTGAGAAGAGCATCAAGAAGAAGGAAAAGGAGGTCGAAGAGAAAGAAAATAGCTTGGTCCCTATTGACGAGAAGATCGGCCTTACCAACAATCAAATCGAGAAGCTTAGGCGGCGGTTGACAACTTTGGTCAAAGAGCGACAAGAAATCAAGGAAAAGATTGAAAGCTCGCAGAAGCAGTTAGCGATCGTTGAGAAGGCTCAGAAACAGTTTGAGAAGAAGTGGGAGGAGTCACTCAAGCAGCAAGGCAAACAACTCAACGAGGACGATCTTAAAGAGTATAACACTCTGAGATCCCAAGTCATCACCAAAACCTCCAAGAACCAGTCAAAATTGGACAACTTCTTACGTCAAATGAAAACTGATGAAGTTACCTTCAACAGTCTCAAAGGAAAAATAGAAAACCTTGAAGCAACAACGCATAAAGTCGAGGAAGAGATCACTAGTATCGAAGAGCGCAAAGAAGCTACCAAGTCTGCTGTCAGAGAAATTTCCCAGGAAATCGACACCAAAAAGAAGGAGTTCAACAACATACAATCCGAGCGAGTTCGGGTGAACCAGGTTCGCACGGAACTTGATGAAAAGTTACAAGAAGTTCTCAAAACTTTGCAGGATGCTGACGCTGGCGCAAGGCAAAATGACAAGGAAGCTAGGACCAGAGAAATGATCGTGTCTTTGAAGAGAATCTTCCCTGGAGTTCGCGGCCGTATAGGAGAGCTTTGCAAGCCAAAACAAAAGAAATTTGATGAGGCTGTCATCACTGCACTTGGTCGAGACTTTGATTCAGTAGTTGTGGATACCGAGAAAATTGGCTCTGAATGCGTCAATTACCTCAAAGACCAGCACTTCTCACCGATGACGTTCATTCCTCTCGATAACATCAAAGTCACAGCTGTCGATTCGAGTTTGAAAAGCTTGAATAAAGCTCGACTTACTATTGACACAATCACTTTCGATTCATCTCTTGAGCGTGCTATGGCATTTGCCTGTGGAAGTTCTATTGTTTGTGATGATATGGAAACTGCAAAGAATATATGCTTCAAAAAGAACATACAAGTCAAGGCCGTGACTCTTGGAGGATCGGTCATTCACAAAGCTGGATTGATGTCTGGTGGAAAGGGACCAGATAGGGGCAGCAAACGAAAATTCGAAGACCAGGACATTGAGCTTTTAAGGAAACAACAAGCAATGTATCGCGAACAAATTGAGGCTCTTCCAAATCTCAGTCGGCGGGGTGCAGCGGAAGAGCTTTTGCAAAATGATCTCAATGGACTTGAACAGAGATTGGCGTACGCAAAGAGCGAGCTTGCTTCTTTTGAGCGCAACTTGAAAGACCTTCGAAAGGAACTTTCCCACGAGAAGCGCCAATTGGCAGAGATGAAACCAAAGTATGAAGAAAAGAAGAACGAGCTCGAGTCAATTCAACAGACCGTGGAGGAATTTCAAGCAGCTGTTTCCAAAGTTGAAGATGATATTTTCAAAGACTTTTGCAAAAGACTTGGTTATTCGGATGTGCGGAGCTACGAGGCGCAGCAAGGTTCCTTGGAACAAGAAGCTGCTGAGAAGAGGACTGAGTTCAAGGTTCAGAAGATGCGCCTGCAGCAAGGCTTGAACTGGGAGTCCAGCCAGTTCAATGAAATTGACGGGAGAGTCAAGAAGATGGAAACCCAGATAGAAAGCTATGAGAACGATATCGAAACATACACCGCTGAGAAGACTGCCCTTGAAGAGGCGATTGACCGGGACAGAGCACAGCAGACAGCTTTGGAAGACGAACTTCAGAAGCAAAAGGAAAAACTGATGGCTAGGAATGAAAAAGTCACTGCTGCACGGAATGAGCTACAAAAACGAAGCAAAGACATTGACAATCGAACCAAAGCAATTACAGCGCTCGAAACAGAAATTCAGCGTAATAGTGCAGGTCGTTACGCCTTGCTTCGTCGTTGCAAGCTTGAGCAAATTGCAATTCCTCTCCAGGACGGTTCAAAGAAGCTAGACAGTCTTCCTGTTGAAGACAACTTTGCTCAACTTGACCCAGATGCGATGGATGTGGATGAGGAGGAGGAGGTTGAAAATGATCAACCAGTGGAGGGTGTCAAAGATTATGGGATCGTGGTCGATTTTGAGCATCTCGATGACGATTTGAAAAAGGTAAGGTTTCTATTCTGAGTAGTACAAAAGTTATACTAATTTCTATCCAGCCGGATGAGGATGAAGTAGAAGATAAACTACTGCAGAGAATCAACGATCTGAATTCAGAACTCGAGAAACTCAATCCAAACATGCGAGCTATAGATCGTTTAGACGGCGTAGAAGCGCGACTGAAGTCAACCGAGAAAGATTTCGAGGACGCTCGACGCAAGGCCAAGAGTTCTCGCGATGCTTTCAATGAAGTCAAAGAGAAACGTTTTGAGCTCTTCAACAAAGCCTTCACACATATTTCCGAGCAGATTTCGCATGTCTACAAGGACCTCACCCGATCCGCTGCATATCCCCTTGGTGGACAGGCATATCTTGACTGTGAGGATGGTGACGCGCCATATCTCTCTGGTATCCGATATAATGCCATGCCTCCATTGAAGCGTTTCCGTGATATGGAGCATCTCTCTGGAGGTGAGAAGACCATGGCAGCTCTCGCTCTACTCTTTGCAGTTCACTCCTATCAGCCAAGTCCCTTTTTCGTACTTGATGAGGTTGATGCTGCGCTTGACAATGCCAATGTCGAGAAGATCAAGAACTACATTCGCGAGCATGCTGGACCCGGCATGCAGTTCATCGTTATCAGTTTGAAGACTGGTTTGTTTCAGGGAAGTGAGAGTTTGGTGGGTGTATTCAGAGACCAAGAAGCAAATAGCTCGAAGACGTTGACTCTTGATGTAAGTCCCCCTCCAGTTATTACAAACAATTCCAAAACTAAACTGACGTTCTTAATAGCTTCGAAAATATGTTTGATGATGAGGATGAGGTGTGTACAGATAGGAAGCTTAGGTTGGCTGTATATGGATAAACGCGCATTATAGAATTATGGCTCTTGTGCTGTTTTCAGCTCATCTGCGGCTTTGCTTATAATTTCACGACATGACATGAGGGGCGCGATATCGATGATTACCTACGTAGCACAATTGGTGCTTCCTTCCAATGTTAATAATGAATTCATCAGGATCTAGTTCCATTCCAAGTTGCTGTGACATTCGATTTTGGCGATCACCTGTGGATAGGACAACCGCGCTATGAAAATAACCTCGATTGTTTTCTAGCTTTGAATGATCTAGGTACCTAGAACTTTGCGTGCAGACTTTTAGACTTCAAAGGGAGGAGAACTGGAACTTGGACAATGGAAGTTTCGTTCTTGAAAACCTTGAAAACCTTAACCTAAATGGAAAGTTTGGAGGAGTTTGGGCAAACGAGGGGGGGTTATACCTAGTTGAGGCTAGCCTGCTTTGGGATGCGTTAAGCCATATGCTCCTTCCCTCCTTCCCTCCAAACCAAGAACCACGGCCTCAGGGCAGACACCTCACACCACAAGACACACCACCACCCGCTTTTCTGGAAGGTCTGCCCGGCGATAGTCGTTCCTTCCAAGTTCCCACTTGGGCCACCTCAGCTTGCAACACACCTGCTCCCTCTCGGAGCAGGCCTCCAGCGCAGAGGAAGACGATCACGGCACCACTTGCCGTACCTATAGGTAATCTTACCTGTTGACTCACCCTTACCCACCTACCTACTCAAAGCAGGTGCACGTTAATATCAATATAGGTACACTCTCGCTAAGACTTGACTCTATTCATTCGCTTAACTGGAACTACTAACTAGAGCCCTAGACCTACCTACCTAATCTCCTAACCTACATCAACTAAGCTCCAAAACACTTGTCATACCCTGTAAGCGTAAATCGATACTTCACATCATTGGCGTGCAGCCTTTCCAACGCACTCTTCAATCCGTCCTTCCCTATCTCAATCTCCTCAACCCAACTCTTGATCCCCTTATCCGCCGCCAGCTTTAGCATAGCGAGAACCTCCTTCCTCGACCCCAAATGACTAGCTCCAATCAAACACCCGTTATTCATGAACGTCTGAGTCTTGACCTCTTGTCCCTCACCCTCAGGAAGTCCAACACTGATCCACTTAGCATGAACATCCAACATCGAGAGGTACTTTTCAAGCTCGAACCCTTCTGAGGAAGAGGCCGTGTTGACGATGAGGTCGAATGTCATTTCATGTGGAAGATTCCAGTCTTTGTCTTGGGTGGCAATGAACCCATCAGCCCCCATGGCTTTGGCGTCCGCTTCTTTGGAGTGTGATCGTGAGATGACCCAGGTTTCTGCTCCGAGAGCTTTTGCGAATAGTAATCCGAAATGTCCAATCCCACCAAGTCCCACGATTCCAACCTTCTTTCCTGGACCAGCGCCGTTACGGACGAGAGGACTGTAGGCTGTCAGGCCGGCGCAAAGAATTGGTGCTGTTTGGTTCGTCGCGAGAGCATCAGGGATTGGAAAGACCCTGGAAAGGGGATATGTTAGCTTTCCTATTGAATATTCAGAGTTCCCACTCGATCTGAATTCACAGTTCTGAGGGCAACCTTCAATTCAACTCCCCCCACTAAGCATCCTCCCCAACTCTACAGCAGAATAGAAAAAACCCCAAACTTACCAATGCTCATGCGTTCTCACATATTCGGAGTAGCCACCCTGAGAAACGATTCCTGTTTCTGGCCACACCGCACCATAAGTATCCAACTGATGCTTGCAATATGTCTCGTTATCCGCCTTACACTGTCTACACTCCAAACAAGAATACGATTGCGCGCCAACACCCACACGCGACCCCTCTTTAATCAGCGTGACCTTTGGCCCAATCCTCACCGCAGTACCGACAATTTCTACATTCAGCAATTAGCCTCTATTTTGGCTGACATTGAGCCCCCCAAAAACGAAAGAACACAATTGGGACAGAGTAAGTAAGCAGAAAAAGGAGCCACATACCATGTCCAACACAAAGCGGGAATTTCTGCTCTCCCCACCCCCCAGAGACAGTATGCAAATCACTAGCACAAACCCCACAAGCCAAAATCTTAATGTCAACATCAAAATCACCGAACGGTTTAGGCTTCAACTCATTGAGTTTGAAATCCGTCCATTTGGCCGGATCCTCAATTTGAAAGCCCTTCCAAGAATCAGGGTAAACCATTTTGTTTGACTCTGAACTGAATTGAAATTATGAAAGAAGTGTATTGTGGATAAGTAGCCTTCAGATCGAGAAGAAAAGAAAGAAGAGAATTTGAAATAGGGAAGAGAGTAACTATTGTCTTACCTGCTATGATAACACATCATCCCACCTCCTATGATATTGACAAGCTCCACAAAAAGCCCCTCCAAGAATGCTCCAAGAATGGAGGGGCAAATCAAAATGTTAATCCGCCGCCAAATTGAAGAGTGGGGTCTCCACTATCGCCTGGTGTTTATCCGGAATCCCGAATTAGGAAAAAGAAATAATTGTCATGGCGGCTTCTCGTGGACGGTGTTTGGCTATTTGAATATTTCTCCGGTGTCGCTTGATGCCTCCCATCGGAATTTTTCCACCAATGAAAAAGAGACAAACTACAATGGAAGACGTTCACCATGGCAAAGCTATGAACAATATAAAAATTCAAATGCTTCAATTCACCCCAACAATCTAATTGTCTTGCTTTGTTTTGCTCAAGCAATTCTCGATTGTGTGCTAGTATCTAGGTATTACAACAGTGCTCCGTGATATCTTTCCCGCAAAATCCCATGTCCCTCAGCTCTCGTTCATCCCTTTCCCTTTGGGATTTATCCCCAACCTTAAAACTCCTTCCTAATCGTAATAGCACACTCGAGGTATAGGGGAAAAATGAAGAATCTCTAGAGTACAGTACCGATTACATATTTCGTTATCAAAAGCGCTGGAATGCCTCCATCTTCCCTCAACGCCTTCGGTTTCGTTTGGGTTTAGCCTTTTTGGCTTTCGCGACAGGGGCGGCAACGATGATATGCCTATTGGCGCCAGCAACGTCCGCCCCCAATCCATTCAGTGCTTCGTCGTCCATATCAGAGAGATCTTCACTGAGTCGGGCCACTGCATCTCTACCGTTCCACTTCTCTTGAGAAATACTCGTACCTTCGGGATTGAACTCTTTCAGGTACCATGGAATTCCGCCGTTCGTCAAGACGTCATTGCGGTCAGGGCCAGCGTCACCGTTTGAGAGTGGTGGCGTGGGAGGGTTTGCAATATCTGATATGGAAGTATTGCCATTTGTCTCGGGGTGCTTCCCAGTATTGGTGCCGTTGAGGATGTCGGGGTTGGCCTGCGATATAACCCCCTCAGCCTCTGGAAGAGTTGTATCAGTGACAGATGTATCGGTTGTTCCATTCGTCAGAGACGGGTTAGATTCTTCGCTTGCTTCTGCGTCTTGCATTTCCACGTCAATAGATTTGGCAACCGCTGGCAACTTCGCTTCCTCGTGAGCATTTCCATTGGTAAGCTCCACTCCGTTTGTCATATGGACATCCACATCTGCTAGTGAGGCCGAATCCCCCATAGATCTGGCAGTGTCTCCGGTCACTTGCACACAAGCTTCAAGTAATTGGTCTACCTCTGAAACGAGGCTCTCTGATGACTTCCCACATATATCAGCCTCTGCACGGGCTGCTAAATGGAGCAGAGGCTGAACAGCCCTAATGATTCTTTTAGCAAGCCTTCTCCTTTCTTTGATGTCCAAGACAACTGGTCTTTTGAGTTCGCTCGCGATGGGTTCTTCTGTTTTCGGTTCAGGTTGGGAAACGACACCAGTATGAAATATGTTTCCAAGGTCTTGAACGAAGGGCATTGCTGTTGTATAGAAGCGCTTCTGAACTCTTTTCTGCAAGACTTCGAGACCCGAAGTGAAGACTTTCTTTATGTCGAGACTAATTTCAGTTAGCGTGTGCGTCTACATCTAGTTGTTACTAAACTTACACTAAAGCTTTTTCAAGTACTGGTGGGAATGTTTTGGCGACTGGAAAGTAGACAGTATCGACGAGATCCTCCTCAAGCTCCACAGCAATAAGCTTGTCGCTTTCTCTCTTCTTCACGTCTTCGGCTAGGCGCTTCAATCGCTCCAAGTCTAATATTAGCGTCTGGGCGAACTCTATTCGACGGTCAAGTCTTGGTCTGCCGGCAGGTCCCATCCCAGCAAAGTTTCTTCGTGTTATTTCCATTGAAGAAAACGTTTCCATTTGGAGTTGCAGCCTTTTAAGAAGGGCAGCGCCTCGCCGTGCTTCTCGTTTCAGCGTCCAATATCGGCACGCGTCAGCTGCATATTCTTTGCGCTTTCGAATATTGAAGCGCTGAAGTGAACTTTCCACAGAATTGTAGACAACCTGTGGAATAACTGGAGCACCAGAGGGGAGCTTCCAGATGGCTTTGGCGGGTTGCGCGCCTTTCTTCTTATCACCCATAGCCAAAGCCACCTTGGCGCCAGTCAACTGCGACTCATCAGGTTGATGTTCAGTAACAGCATGCCGATGATTGGCGGCCATTGCTAGAGCGGAAGCTTGACTATCAGCCCAAAGCCGACCGCGCATCGCTCTTTTGTAAAAAGCCCGCGCTTCTCGAGTTGCTCTCGCTACATCGTTCTCTTTTGCATAATCAGAGGGACAATGTTTGTCGCAAAATGCCTTTAGAACAGTGCCTCCGTCCAGTACAGCAAGGGTTCCTTGATTGTTTTTCATTTTGAGAAACAAATGTGCCCTCCTAGCACAAGTTACATGGAATGCTTGATAACAAGCTTTATTGCCGCACTGGATACAAGCGCCCATACGCTGGTTGCATAAATAGCAAGTCAAGCGCCATCGAGTCTTTGGCACTTTTTCAACATCCATCACGGGCTCCATGAAAGTATGGTTGCCAAGAGATACTTCTGGGATCCACATGGCGCACAGCAGATGTGCCCACTTCGATGCATTGGTCTGTTTGAATGCTCCATCGGTATTGGGGCAAAAAATGCAGGTCTATAAACGAATTAGCATTAAGGTTTAGTATCAATAAGGGATAAGGAAGACTTGCAGGAATACCACGACCAATCAGCTGACATTTTCTGCACAGCCACTGACCTTCAGGAATAAATGGAACTCCGTAACACTCCTGGTGGACAGCCAAATCACATCCGTCACAAAATACAATGGCATTTGTGTTCTCGCAGTCGCCGTCATCGCAAATTGCGCACTTACTGTCCTGTTCTTCTCCAGCCTGTGGTTCTCCGTTTACTGCAGCTGCAGAACTAGACCGCGGTCGATGAGTTTGTGGTGGCTTCGGATTTGGCTTAGGTATGCGCTTTTCTAATGAGTGCCACTCCTTTTCAATTTTTGTTACGGTGATCTCAAAGACTTCCCGGGTTATGGATTCAAAATTTATGGCTTTCCGCTCGTTGTTGTATTCCGAGAGCCACTTATCGTCTTGTTCGTCCATGTCGTACTCGACGCGGCCGACACCACCACTTCCAAGAGCTACAATTCCACTAACGTCACCCCCAAGCCCAGGGCCAAGATCGAGGTCTTCTTCCAAATTGCTGTCTGAGACTTTGATAAGGTTGAGCTCAGGGCGGATGAATAGATCGGTCTCTTGGTATCCGACATTGGACATGGATTTATCCACGTAACGCACCATTCCACGTTCCTTATCCTCGAATATAGCCAGTGTATCGGTTTTTCGATATGAAGGTTGCGGCAATGTTAATTTTTCTTTAGCGTTGATATTTTGAACAGGCTGCATGATTTTTGGTGCTTTTGGTGTGTTTGTTCCGCTGACACTCAACGTCGCACCGATCGCTGCCGCCTTGGCTGAATAAAATGCAATAGGATCCTTAGGTGGCCGTCCAGGTCTTCGCCTGCCACCACCAGGAGTTCCAGGAATCGCTATCATCAATAGAGATTCCCCATTCAAGGAAGCAGCAGGCGTGGGAATCCCCTCGCTTTTCGTCTTCTGCCCTTCCACACCATTTGGCGTTACCGCACCATTCGTGCTTACGATGGAGTCCTCCGCTACGAGTGAAGCGTTCGCAGGCGTGACAGGTCTTGTCTCTGGTATACCCTGAATATCGTGGGCGGTAAATGCGTGAAGAACGCCTTCAATATCAAGATTTGGGTGGTATTCCTCCCACGCGCGCTCCTCTCTTGGTTTATATCCATCGCTTTGCACCGCGGCCGCAACTTGAGCCGCCGAGCTGAACCTCATGGGGGGCTGTTCTGAGCGGGGTAGTACTGTTCGTGTTCTTGTACTCCGATCTCTCCGTGTGTATACTTGAGGAATCAAGCCCATAGCAGCGTTTTCTCTGCCAATGCGCCCACGCGGTCCGACATAGTTGTATCCTCCAGGTCCAGTTCCTCCAACGGGTATTTCGTTTCCGTCCTCGTCGACGTATCTGCCACCACCACCTGGGCCACCTGGTATATACCTCCGCTTCTTCTGAGGAGGCTCTGAGGAGATGTTGGCCGGAGTGGTCTTCTCGGACTGAGAAGGCCCCGCAGACTTTGGGCGGCTCGAGCGGACTCTACTGGATGCAGGTCGACGTGGCGTAGCTGGCACAGTGTTCATGTCTCTCGACCGGAATGATTCTCGCAAGTAGTAGTGTATTCGTTGTATGTTTCCAGAATCGTCGCGTCAGCCCTTCAGGAGAGGCTTAAGGAGGAAGGTGGCAAGAGTTGAGAAGATTGGATGGCATCGGGAAATTGCAAGACTGGTTCAAGGCAGTCGCGTAATATTTGCCAGCATCAGCTCGCGGTGTATTATTGTCCACACCTTAAATGCGACAGGAGAATGAGGATGTTGACTCAACTCTCTTGACATTGACGTCCCTCTCTCGTAGAGGATTGTCGCGGTTGATATGGTCCGTGCCCCGACCAAGGCGCTAATCACAACTAGGTTAGATTATCGGCTAAGCGAGAAGCTTAAATCCCAGGATTATTGAACCCCTGCGCGCGGGTGCTTTTGCCATCCCTCAGTGCCCCTCCCCCTCCCCTTTTCTCCCCACAGCTGCTGCAGCTTGATAAAGCTTCATCATGGGAATCCACCTACTTGGTGCAAGCGTTGCTGAGATTGCGTGAATGGCGCTTTGGCTGAGAAAAGTCGGCAAAATGGGCCATACCAAAACCATCCACCATGTTATTTTACTGTAGTGTTGATGTATATGGTGATAATGCATATGGTAGCTAATGCCCATAGAAGATCCAATCTGACCTCGCCGTCTCGTTGTCGTAGACAATGGGGCCAAGGGTGAAAGGCCTTCAGCTCGAATGTTGACCCGCATCGCATACCTAGGTACTGCGTACTGATGCCGCGTCTCAATTGAGTTCAACAAGTACCCACTTATCCTACCACTATACGGAGTACATAGAGCTCGAGTTGTCATACGAAGGAGGCATGAGAAAAGCGTGTGTTGAAGCCTTTCTCAAAGATGACCAGATGCGAATTCCAAAACAATCGAGGTTGTGTGTTGTTGTCCAAAAGAGTTCCTCGGTGCTTAATTGGGTAAGGATATGGATGGGTATGTGCTTGTAATGCTGCCCTCAAGCTTCCTGTGCGTGTCCGCGGGCGCAGTGCGACATAGCATTACAGTACCTATTGGATAACCGCTTACATTCAGGGTAGGATTTCATTCAGGTACCCGCGCACCATGATCATGGATGATGTGCTCCCCCACAAGGAACCAAGGGGCCTAGGCCCCACGAGCTACATGTAGAAGTAATTGCAATCAACAATTAAGCATTTGTGGGCTTACTGTTCATTTTGCAGCAAGTGCATGTTGAGCTTATTATCAAATTCAAAAAATCACTCTACTCCAGACAGCGGCTTCTACAGAATTCGGTGTGAAGAGAAAGCCGAGTATGACGCTTGTGCATAACTTATTAATTGGCAAGAAATTTGGAAATGGAATGGAAGCTATTCGGAGCTGCGCTAACTCACATTCCATTCTCTACGTTCGCTCAACAAAAGGATACAGTCGCCATAGCGTTCTTGCCTCTTCAAGGACCTCAAGGAAGCGATGCTCAGATACGATTCTCTCTTGAAACATGATTACACATTCTGTAATCATACGGAATACCTTTCTGCAATTGAGAATTTTCGGGAAAGCGGGAGCTCTGAAAATGAACAAACTCTAATTCCGGCGTATTATTCCGGTTGTGCCGACTTTCGTAAGCGAGGATGAACTCATTCTTCATCCGATGAAGAACTGCTCTCTACGACAAAATTTCAACATACAAGACTCGAAAATTGCCGCGCTATTCGAATTTGTACAAATGATACGACCACTAGAGATTTCATGTCAGAGCACCATTTCAGGCAGACATTGGATCGAAAGCTGCATCATGTTTGATAATCTAGCCCTAAGCAAGTAAGACTTCTAGGCGAGGAACTCAAAATGAGATTAGAGGTCAGCCCACGACAATCGATGGCTATGGTTCTCTTCCCAAAAAACTCTCCGTCTCTTCAAGTGCCTTCCTCCTCCACGTCTCAACATGAATAATACTGTCACTCAGCGACATGGGCATCTCAACAAGGGGATTTGGTCGTTCTTCTTTAGCACACGTTCACAGGCGGTTGGGCGAAATAATCTAGGAAATCTGAATTGTGGTTTGAAAGAATCGAAGGCCTCTTTGATAATATATCACGATAATTTCAACCATTTTTGAGCAGTCGCGGAATATATCTACGAGAATTCAGTGTGATAAGTTAGAAAGGTGTCTGAAACCCGTACGTATAGGTGGCTGATCGTTCCTTCTGCTGTGCTTGGGGCCAATTAGGTAATATCATAAGACCCGCTAAATTCCGGTGACAGATATGGGTATCTTCTGCAATCTCTACGAAGAAGTTCTCGAAGGAAAACCTTTTACCGACAGCACAGGTAGGTTTCTTTGTGGCAATTTGCCATTATTATTCTTCGGCTGACCGGGCATCAATACTCGATATCTCACAATCTGTATCATTATATCATCATTGATCGGATCGAACATTGACAACAACAAATCTGGGCCATGAAACGTCCGTCATCCACGCCCAATCATTCCCCTGGCAACCATGATACTCCAGATTTCAAAAGGCCGCTATCCTGCACCGGAGACGCGGGCATCTGCGTTTTGGCCAGAAGTTTTCGGTTCGATGTGATTCGTCCGGACTTCCAGCTGAAAAACAGCTGTCCATCTGTCTCACCAGTCTAGAACATGACATGGACTACCCCAATGGCTTTGTACACCACAAGACACCAGAATTACACTTCATCGAAGGCGTCGCAATGCGCTTCTTTCTTTTCATACATCTCGACGAATCGTAACCCGGAATTACAGACAAATCCCGTATTGTGCTGGCATACCAGCAAGAATGGCATTAGTTTGCTTGCTCTTTCAGTGCTTCCAAAATGGGAAAATAAGGTGTCTTAAACTCATAAAAGTCGATTTGTTGATAAGACAGCGACGCAATCAATATTATTGTTTTCTTTTTTTGCCCAGTTACCGGCAATTACTTGCTCGAGTTACTCCCAGAGGCGTTTCCTAGAACGTGGATCTCTGCGCCCGGCCCTTAAGCTTGACATCTGCCCAGCAACCGGTTCTTCTTGTCTTTCTCTGTGGTCCTGACACCACTATCATATGATAGCTAGGTAACGGCCATAGCCCACTGGCAGCTCTAGTCTAGGTCTACCACATAAGCTAAATTGAGAACCCTGATGTATCATGCAGGTAATCGACGAAAGCCGAGAAGCGTAGATATTGGTATTTCTATAGCTTTAACCCTTGGGGGCCCCATGATCCCTCCTGCAGTTGCTTTCTGAAATGGTTGCTCGCAAAGTAGAACTCGAGCGAATCTTCATTCCTAGCCATCGCCAATCTTTGAGCCATACTTATTCAACAAGTCAAGAACACACTGGGAATAGTTATTCTCCGCAATCGAGGTCTCCAGTAAAAGGTATGAACGTCCGGAAATGGAACGGCGCTGCAAGGTGCTCAACGGAATGGGATGAACTTCGAAGAGTGAGTCTGTGTGCAATCGTGTGTTATACTGTATTTAATTCCTGAGTAGGATTCCGCCCTATGGTTCAAGAATGGTGATTGCCATGTCCACTTGCATGCAAAAGGGCAGTCCCAAAGACCTCCGACATTCAGGGTCCCAATCAACGCTCTTGTGGCAGCAAAAGCCCAGCCGCTTCTTGAGAGATGCTTAATAGAAAGCGTGGAGGAAGCAACTGGTAGTAACGAAGATATAAACAATAAAGTTTCATGGCTTGATCTTTACATCACCACCCCTTCCAATATCGAACGAGGACAAATCTTTCTGCACCATACTTCAACACGCAACTTCTTTGCGTGGGTCTTCAGGAGGTCATTGGTTGGAATCCATCTTGGTGGCGCACTGGTCGGTCTACTGAACACCATGAACGAATTCAGGTCAGCAGGTGAAGACAATTTCCAAGCTCTGTTCAACTACATGGAAGAAGAAGGATATCTGGACATGCGAAACTCTCCAGATCATGCGTTAGGTATTTTGTTCTTTGCAGAACATTTTAGACTTGAGCAAACTTGGTTGGATGCATTTGTGCATTGTGTTGGAATGTACGAGAGCTTACCAACCAGTGCGGGTTTTGAGGTAAGTGTCTGGTAACTAAATTGCAGCACTTGAAAAGTGGTACTGACAACCAGATAGCATATCAGCCCGACTTCCCGCGCACTCTTAACACGATCTTTTACTGAAATGGATGCACGACTGGGTTCATGCAGTCAAAAACTTAGAACTTTCCTCTCCGATGAGTTGTCTGATGCTTACTTTGGTATGCCCCAGAATGCCAAACATCATCTCGACAAATTCAGGGCTTTTCTTCACACGTTCTACATTGCAAAGCTTGGTCATTATCCACCGACCGTTGAGAGCAAGACTGGTAGATTCCCAAAGAGTATTCTGAATCAGATGGCCACAGACTTTAAGAAGCTTTACGAGTTTTTAGTCGACACTTCCTTCACGTCATATAACCTGGATCCTGCCACTCAACATGCAGGTATCTGCGTGATGCATAATGTGCAGGCATTTGACCGATTATACAACCACTCTCCGCTGGAGCACCCTATACCTCTTCTTCCCCAATCTGAGGAATACAAAAAGCCAAAGGGAAAATTTAGGGGCAGGTTAAGCTTACAGAATACAAAAGGCTTACCGGACAGGAGACTTGTCACCTGTGCATCTTTGTTAAAGGCCACAAATTGGGAAAGCTCTAATCCGTATGAGGGCGCCTTGGTAATGGCGTTTCGAAGCTTTGAGAGGGATTTTGTTTTCTCAGTTCCCACGAGTAAGCACGAAACTCTTCAACAAGCAAACGCCCGAACAATACGCTGGCTGTTAATTTATTCCATTCACCAGACTTTGAAATCTGCTACTGCAATTCCTGATCACGTTAGCGATACTCAAAATGTCCAGTACAACTTGTGTGCAATGACACCTGACCTACCCCCATGGAAACAATCACCTTCATGCGATATTATATATCGATTGCCCACAGGTCAAATCACGCAGGACCACAAGGAATCGCTCAGAGCCAAAGTGAAAGTAAACAGAGCCAGCGCCTTCGAACTCAAGCGGGATATCGAATATCAAGCCATTCAGCGAAGGCCCCAATTTTCTCTTCTTAGAGGCCAAAATACCGAAACACTTTCAAGACGCAACTCGTTAGGACCACAACGCGGGATGATCAGAAGGGCTCTGAACAGCCTTGGAAACATGCCAGAACTTCAACACCCTACACCCCACCGATTATCTTATCACGAAATCCTCGTTTACGGATATGGAAACGGTACTCACGATGTGACAGTTACAGATGGTCCTGCTGCGACGACTCAAGAAGATGACGCACTACAGCGGAAAGTTTCTGCCGGGTCTCAGTTAACACCATCTGAAAAATCACCCTCTTTGTGGTCACACACGTCTGAAGAAAATGACGAGACTCGGAGTTCAAATGACAGCAAACGTTCAACAAGTGGCAGCACATTTACCAGCATTAACGAATTTTTGGACAACAAGCGAGGCACCAGTGTTCTGGGACTCCCGGAGAAACCGAGTTCTGCGTACTCTGCTAGCATCTACGAGGATGATGATGATGACAAGAAGGCTATGGAGCCAGCACCACTGCACGTGCGGGAGGTGATCCCAGACAAGGATAAGGACCCGGAAGTTCCCAATATCATTGAAAATCTTCAGAATCTGGGTGTCAACAGGGAGTTGGAAGAGTTTTGAATGCCGAGAATAGGAAGTTTTGTACAGATTAGGATTTCTTTGTCTTTTGATTTCCTCAATACCCCGACTTAGACGTTCATTTCAATCTGATAATGATACTCAGCGCAAGGTAATGATACTCAGCGCAAGGCTTTGGTGGCTATGCTTGTTTAACGTAATACGTTTAGGGTTGGTTGTACGATAAGAGTTGGTAGTAAAAGAGAAAGAAGCTTTTGTAGCTGACTTCATTTTTGCTTTCATTTGACTTCTTGTGGGAACTGTTAAATCTGTGTCCCTCGGTGTTAGAGCTTGGTCCTAGAATTTCGACATTAGAATATAGCATCTGCCGAGGACAGTACACCCAGGTGTACCCCTATTGACTTAATTCTCGCTTAAGATATGATTGGCTTTGAGATTCTCAGATTCACCTCAAATTCAGAAGTACTAGAACACAATTAGTGGAAGAGACCCCAATTCACTGGACAAAAGCACACCTAGAAAATGAGAATATTGGAAATAGTAGATGCTCTTCCTGCCATCAAGTCGTGAATACCGAGGTACAGTACTGTAGCCTTTGATAGGCACTCGTGAAAGTGGTGCACTCAAGACCCCTGTCCGAGAAAGTTCCAGGCTCGCGTCATCCCAACGCCCGCCCCAAACTCTTGCAATCGACCTCCACATTTCTACTATACGAACAATGGCCAACTTTACACCATACACGTATTTCCAGTGTCCCTGTGCGGATTCTGTTCTGCCCACTCGGAATATAAGCTCCGACTCGCCCTCTGCCGCGTCCGGAACCTCAGACCAGGACGAACGAACCTTCGATCCTAGAGCCCCGCGGTCGAATTATAGTTTATATCCGCTAGAGCACTTGTTATACTGCGAGGACTGTCACCAGATTCGATGTCCAAGATGTGTATTAGACGAAATCGTCACTCATTATTGTCCAAATTGCCTGTTTGAGGTTCCGAATAGTATCGTGAAGAGTGAGGGGACCAGGTTTGGCTCAGTCTAGGTTGGGAAGAGAGGAAGTGATACTAATGTTTGGCAGATGCACGAGGAGTTGCTTCCAATGCCCTATTTGCATTGCACCCCTCTCTGTCAGTGCCGTCGAACCACAACCTGAGGGGCATGGAGTAGCAGATACCGCCCATGTAGGGCAATACGTGCTGAACTGCGCGTATTGCCTCTGGAGCTCCAAGGATATCGGCGTATACTTTGATAAACCAAATGCGATCTCTGCACAGCTGGCGAGAATAAAGAATGGTGGAGGACAGGTTATTACTCCTCGCGACCGACGGAAAGATCGCGAGGGGCGAACACGGGAGGCTTCAATGGGACCCAGTCTCGATGATGACGGTGTACAAGAGGATGATGGTCCGAAATTGGATCCCAACGAAGTACTGGATCCTGAAGGCCAATTCTCAAATTTGAAATCATTTTATCAGTCGCAAATCGCGGAGGCATCTCCCACAAGTGCTTTGGGCTTCACGGGAGGGGATTACGGCTACGGATCACCAGGAGCGCTATCACGAATAATGGGGATCTATACTGGAGGAACGTTTGCAGACAAGAAGGTCAAGAGCAAGAAAGCAAATTTTCGAGAAGCACGGGATGCCCTCGAAGGTCTACAAATTGTCGACCTCGCCTCAGATGCAGACGCAATCAAGAAGCTCCAAGAAAATAGATGGCAAGGGACAACTTCCCTAGAACAACGAGCCGAACAACTCAGCGAAGCACCATTTGTATCAGATCTACGCCCCCTTGCCTACGTCCTGCGTACAAAGCGTTCAAAACGCTGCAAAACCTGTCGTCATATCCTCTCCAAGCCCGAATCCAAAGTCCAAACGACTCGTTTCCGAATCCGACTCGTAGCACTAAACTATATCCCTGCCATAACCATAAGACCCCTCCAACCACTCGCCCCCACCCAAAGATCTCTCCTCACACCCCGCAAAGCCGTCCAATTCCTCCTCACATTCAAGAATCCCCTCTTCGAAAACGTCAAAGTTAGTATCGCAACCCCAGCGCACACCCCTGGTCGGTTTAAAAGCAAAGTCACGGTTCTCTGCCCGCAATTCGAGGTAGGAGCCAACACGGACGCCTGGGAAGAAGCCCTCCGCGAAGGAGGCAAGGGAGCTGGAGGCGAAAAACGCCGTACCAAAGCGGAGGCCCACGAAGGACAGAACCAAGCGGAAGCAGGACAAGTATGGGAACAGGGGCGGAATTGGGTCAGTGTAGTGGTAGAAGTTATCCCTCCCTCAATTCGCATGGACGCTCCGGATTTCGTGAAGACGGAAGAACACAAGAATGACGAGGGGCCGTTGAGAGAAGATGAGGATGTGGTGGAGATTCCGGCTTTTGTGAGGGTGGAGTGGGAAGCGGATGCTGCGCAGGATGATGATACCGGGAATTTGGCCTCGATGAGGGAGAAGGATGGTAGGGAGAAGAGGGAACTGGCTTACTGGTGTGTTTTGGGGCTTGGCAGGATTGCTCGGGAATAGATGAGAAATTAAAGGCAGAGGGAAATCGTAGGAGCGCAATATACCCATTTGATATTTGCATACACAATCATTTTCGTTAATATAGATATATTCTGTGAGGTGATGCTTCATGGAGCGCAACGTGCTGTTTCTGCTTCCATTGGATTGTAGTGAGAGTACGCGAGTAAAGATTCGAACTGCAATCATTGCCCTGCGTACCCTTCTACATCGTGTTGCTAACTCATATATGTGAACGATTGTAGGCAAGTAAAGTGTGGTGGTCGGAAGCTAATTAGCTCTTCAGAAGCATGTTTTCTTTCATCAATACTAGAGCACTGATAACCTACAATTTTGGGGTAGATAGCACTGCGTTGTTAGAACATGCCTTGGCTACAATCACGTTATCATCTTGGAGAGTAATTGCTTGCATGGTCTGATTTTGAAATTTCGTAATGCTCTGGTATCATGCGTATTCGCAAGCCTATCTGAAAAACCTGGCTACGCCCATTATTGAAGACTCAAACCAGGCCAATTGGTCCCCAATACCCATCCATTTTGCACCCAACCATGAAGACATTTCTCTTCACATACCCATCCTCTAGTACTCAGAAGCACCACCTTGTGGGAACTCGAAAGCGACACCACGTCCAGTCAACTTTCGGTAAACCTCAGAGTAAGTATCGAGTCTGTGGTCAACACCTCCCTTCTCCTTCTCGTCAAGAACAACCTTCAAGGTCTTGCTTCCATCTTCCTTGGTGCGGAGACGTTTGCCGACAATCTCAACTGGGAAAACGAGATCGGTGAGGATGGCATCGTGGACGGCGGTGAGTGTTCGGGAACGAGGTCTCTTTTGGGTGAGGGAGGTTCGGGATCGGTTGGATCTCTTTGGGCGGGGTAAGATACGGCGGGATGCGAGGATCAGGACGTGACGGTCGGAGAACTTCTTCTCGAGCTCACGGGTGAGACTATGTTGTTTAGCTGGGCATTCGATCATATAGGGTCAAGGGGTAAATACCGTTGCTGCACCTTGTGGAAACCTTGAAGGGATGGGACGGGGACAAAGATGACGATAGCCTTCTTGCCGTGGCCAACTTCAATCTACAACGCGATCAAAGTCAGCATGCGATCTCCACGTTTTGATCATTTCCATATTTCAGGAAAGGAAGAAAAACAGTGGTCCGCAGCCCGTCCGATTCCACAACTTCAGATCACCGGACGCTCAAAATATACCAAACCCACTGATTCGATATCCTCATCATTCTGTATCTCAAGCTTGAATTGATATAAAACCGGGTTCTTCTGTACAATTGACGCCGGCGCCCGAGTCGTTTGTTCGTGCGTTGGTAGCTGCGTGCCCAAGTGCTTCCTCCTGTGTACACATATCGAGGTTAGATGGAGCTTACCTCTTTCGCAGAAACGAATTGGAGTGGTCGGAGAGCAGCCTTGAGGTCGGAGGTGTTGGTCTCGAGGTCGTAGAGAGCACCAGCGATGCTGGTCTCGAGCTCCGATGGCTTTTGGCGCGATGCGCTGTTGGCTGCGATCTTGTTAATGGCAGACATGTTGGCGGTGGTTGTCGTGGAAAAGATTCGAGGTTCGCAGATATCGATGGGACAAACTTTTGGGAATGTGGTTTGTGGGTGCGCTAGTGACAATCCATGAACATCATGTGACCGAGCTTCTCCTCGATAGGAATCACGTGATCCCACAATAAGCTTCAGCGAATCCTGTACTCTATCCAAGAAAAACCCGAACATTAAAAAAGACTCTTCACACCACCCCCACAAATCCACCCAGTACCCACTACTTCCTCCCAGGAGAAACCCAAATAAGGCCATCCCCAAACTATCACAAAAGACATCCATACTGGTGTATCGGTAACATTTCCGCCTCTCATTCTCTTTCCACAGAAAACGATTGGTCCGCGGTAGCGCAGGGTTCGACTCCCTGGTATGGAAAATATTCATATTTTCACGGATTGCGGTCAACATCTTTTTTTCTCAACAATTTTTAACATTTTTTGTTTGGCCTGTTAGATGGTTTTTTTGTGGTTTACCAGACTCGAGGGAAAGTTCTTGCTCGTACTCTCTTCCCTATCTGACAAGTGTTGAAGTCGGGGTAAGGCCGATACTAAAAAACACGAGACGTAGAGAGCCGCTTCCAGGTTTTTGTTTAATCATCGTAACCTACTTCAAGGACTATTTCAAAACGAACCATTACTTTACTGGTACTTTTCTCATGTATCACAAAGCAAGCCCGGGTCTCAAAGATGAAGATAGATACAATAAAATCTTATTATCATTATTCTACGAGACTTCAACTCTCTATGTAAATTGCCCTCCATGATGCCCTGGGTGATCGAATCATCAGACCCTCAAATCTCTTACGCCGAAGCAATGCAACAAAAGAAAAATAGCTATCCGTTGATGAACGGTCCCTGAAATTGCTTCATCTATCATCTCCGAACGCCCGCTACCTGGTAAACATAAAAAATCGCAAGAGAGACATCTCCGTCTACACATACCAGGAAATTATCGTCCACTTTCAAGCTTTTCGATTCCTTTGATTGTCATACCAAAGTCCATAATCAAAATTTTGGGATCTTGCCCTGTACTGATTATACGGCGATAATCCGATTTTGCACCGAGAACCCAGCTGGAATGCCATTTCGGAAAATCAAGAAGTAAACGTCCACTCTCCATGTCGAATACCTTGATATCTTGATCGTAACTTCCGGATACTAGCCTGCCACTGACAGAGTCGATATGTAAAGAACGAACGAGATTGTCATGCGCTGCAATATTGTGTAGACACTCTCCCGTGTTTGCATCCCAGATTCGAATGATTTTGTCGTTTCCTGCCGAAGCAATATATTTGCCATCATCGGAGAACTGACTGCAAGCCAATCCCTTAGTGTGGCCAGAAAATTCTCTGATGTTCTTGCCAGTATCAATGTTCCACAGCTTGACACTAAAGTCACCAGAGCAACTGACAATTGTATTGCCTCTCATCTGCACGGCGTTGACTGGACCGGCATGGCCCCGAAGCTGCTTCAACATAACTCCAGTCTTTCGATCCCAAACACAAATGCTTACATCTTTGGAACATGTAACGATGTAACGATCGTCAAATGCAAGATCAAGGACAGCTGCCGTGTGGTGTCGTAATCTCATGGTAGGCCTATAATTGTCGTTGATATCGTAGACGATGCAAGTTCCATCAGATGACCCAGTGACCAAAATGTCTTGGTCATATTGTAGACACAAAATAGATTGGTTGTGGTAGATTGGATAAGAAACGGTAGAAGGTTTGAGAGTAGCCGAACGACTCATGTCCGGCATTGTCGCGTAGTGTTGAGGTGAGCCGTCCTCGCTAGTCATGATTGCCGCTTCGTTTCCAACGACATCAGGAGGTCCAATTATCAACTTGCAGGAATAAGTTCTCATGTCCCATACTCGAATGGTCTTGTCGCGAGAGCCTGTGATGATTTTGGATCTAAGAACAAACGTTAGCTTTGTGGTCGAGAACGGTAAAACAACATACTCATCGAACTGAACACAATATATACTATCACTGTGGCCATTCAGATATATTGGCTCGGCGGCACCCTCTAGCCAATTACGTTCTAATTCCTGCTTGATTCGGTAGATGTCCTTCCAATCGTTTTCAGGTTTGAATGGAGGTAGTCCCAGTCCAGTTCCGAGTTGGATGGGTTTGCTCATAGCATACGTCTTGGATTTTTCTCGAATGAATGCCTCGCGCCAAATATGGGGCGAGTTCGCAACACGTCGCCACGACTTGGAAACTCTTGACACCCTGACAAGCACAGTATGATCAAGATGGGCCAGAACCTGGATGGCCAATTCGACGGGGAGAGCGGAAATAAAATCGACGGAGCTAATTGACGTAGCGGGATCGGATTCTGTAGAGTGAACAGTTGTCACGGCTATACCAATTCCACTTTCCCGATCCCCCAACTGTAGTAATTGACGATTTCTACCGAATAGCAACTCATTTTGAGCCGCCGCCGTTGCTCTTGCTGCTTCTCCTCCACTGCCGCGAGGTATGACTGGAGGTGCATTGCCGAAACCAGGAATTGGTGCTAGGATTTCTGAGGCGTCCGTGGAAACCTCTTCGTCAAAACAGGGCGCTGGAAAACATTTCGAATTCCTACTAAAGCTTGCTGCTTGTCTTAATCGCTTCCACGAGGACTTGGCTGTTTGTGGCCTCTCCTCGCCAAGATCGACATTTGCTGTGTGGGAATGACGGCGCTGCTTTCTCATGGAGATCGAAGCTCTCCTGATGAATCCACGAAAGCCTCCGCCTATCCTTCCCTCGTCCTGCTTCTCTGTCTCTTGTTCTTGGGTTCTGTTCGTGATAGCCAGTCTTGCCAAGCTCGACTCGACATCTCGCCCAAAATGTGAAGATGCGGTCCGGCGTCCGAATCGTGAGGGAGGTGCGGATGTCTTCTCCTCGAAGACGTCCTCGGAAACCGCTGTACTATAAGACGTGCTGAAATCGCTTGTTGACGCCTGGGAGCTATCGACGGGAGCCCATTCGGAAATTGGGAAGACACGAGCCATCATGGCTGGTTGAAGGTTGGGACCGCGTATGCTAGGTATCTCAGAGTTGGTGTATACAAGTACCCGCAGACCAACGATCGTTCGTTGAGAATAGAAAGGTGCAGCAGTCGAGCACTGAGCCTCTGAGGGTGCCGTGCAAAACAAGTTGGATATGTGGAGGGGGAGCGCAGTCGAGGGATGCAGCGAAGTGCAGTGCTATTGACTTGGGTGACGTTGGTGAGGTGGGTGTAGGTGATTATTATGAGCGAAGCGTAAAAGTAAAGACAGGTGGGTGGTGATGGTGGTGGTGGTGTTTGTGTAGAGTCAGGCAAGGGAGAGCAGCATTGATACGGAGTCGAGTGAGCTGAAGATTAAGAAAGAGCGTGAGAGTGAGAGTGAGAGTGTGGGGAAAGTGAGCGCAGGTGCAAGTGCAGGTGAGGTGCGGGTGCAGGTGCATATGATGTAGATGCGAGAGGAGATTTAGATTTCGAGAATAATGGAGAAACGAATTTCAATCAGAACGTCTGTCACAAAACAAACGGTAAGAGTCTTATTTTCGGGCCCAGCGCCTGCCTACCGATCGACCTAAAGGCGGCGGCGGGGTCTAGCGGCCAGGGGCTAGGGGCTAGGGGCTGACTCAGGCGGCTACACCTGCACGCTCGCCTCTGATTCCTAGAAAGACAATCTTGAGTAAGACAATCTTGAGTAAGACAATCTTGAGTAAGACAATCTCGAGTAAGACAATCTCGAGTAAGAAGGAACTTGGGATAAATTGTCGTCTATTCTGTCGAGATTCTAGCTGTCTGCTTTGTAATCTCTATTGTATCTATATCTGCAACCATGCTATATTTATAGTTGGGGGTTTAGCGAAGCGATTCTGTGATTTCTGTCTATCTACAGGTAGGTATTTTCCAAATGTAGACGGTGAGTGAACTTGCAACCAATTCCAGCTAAGAATTCCGGGGGAAAACGTTGGTTACGAGTAGTCGTCTCCTGGATTGGATCTTCTCTGCACCAAAATCAAACTTTCTAGTCGGCGTCTCACCGAGATATTAGCAGCAGCAACACTACTCGTAGCCTAGGCCCAGGTCCTACAAGTCGGTAGATTGAGCATAGCCGATCTCTTCTACTACCAAAGGGGAAAGAAGGATCAACTACCTAGGTACACAGTAATACTGTGTACCTAGGTAGGTATGGGTACTTCTACTGAGGTAGAGCTTGTCATACCTAGGTACTCGTATACTTCGTAGTGCAAATGGCGATACTGTCATTACCACGTAATATCTCCATCTCATGCGTGCCAGACTTCATCTGCCCTGGGGTATCCGTAAGCTGCACTTGCAAAGGACCAAAGGTGCTGTTTACAGCTGCCCTGACTCTCGTTACTCCTTGATGCTGCTTTACACTGATCAGCACCATGCACAGGCTGAAATTGGACGGCCAGGACGGGCTGAGCCTGAGCCAGTGAGCCTGAGCCTGAGCCTGAGCCTGAGCCTGAGCCTGCGGTCGAACTGCACTGCACGTATCGGAGCTTTTTCTCAAACTCTCTAGCATCACGTCCACGTCCACGTCCCAATTCTACATCGTCCTCGGCGAGATAAATGGATTCCGTACTTGGGCAAAAGACTGTCGTGCAATCTTCCCGCTCATCAATCTTGATGGAGTCTTCCGGACATTCCGGCCTGCACATCTCGACGATTCAGCATCGCCATGACGGATGAATCGTGTTGACATTTTCACGAGTGTAAAATGACTGTACACTCCGATATGCAGTGCGGTGCAGCAGCGCAGTGCATTGCATCGCATCTCTGGCCGAACCAACCTGTGTGGGTATGGAAAACGGGGTCCCAGACGGAGAAGAGTGTGGCAGGGGTTCCAAGGCTGTCCCCAAAATCTTCTTTCCGTGTCCCGTTTCATCTTCTTCGTCTCCTGCCTCATCACCATTCGCTACCATTCGGATAAATGCGTGCAGGCAACTTCGTCAAGTTCGTCCAACATCTCGACCAGGAAACCCGTGATACTGGATACTTTTACTCGTAATTCGCACCATTTCCCAGCTACCTGCCACTCCTGCACATACCAAAGGCAACTGACGACCGTTCTTCTGTTCTATTTCCAGAATCCAGCTCCAGCCCAGCCCAGCTCCATATCACATCACATCAGCCACCCGCCATTTCGGAAGAAATTTCATCCAATTGCCAAAGTTCGCAGCACCTCCAAGTTTCATCTTAAAAGGAGCCTCATCTGATACCCATCTGGCATCCCCCCTCCAATCCAATCATGGCCCCTGCCCCTGCTTCTGCCCCCGCCTTCGCCTTGTCCGCCTTCTACAGTCTCTTTTTCCTCGTCATCGAGCCCATATCAGCCTTGCTCGGAGCTTACTACGCTCATTTCCAACCCTCCACCTATCTGACCCTGACCACTCCTCTATCGCCCTCGACAGGAGAGCTCCCACTCAGCACTCAAGTGGTGCTTACCCAACTGGCCAATTTGTATCTGCTCTTCGCCATCAATGAAGCTCTAGTGCTTCGTTCAACCTCGGATCTCCGAGTGTGGAAGACGGTGCTTTTTGGTCTCCTGATTGCGGATCTGGGTCATTTGTATAGTGTCAAGGGCTTGGGTTGGGAGATTTATTGGAAGGTTACCCAGTGGAACTCGATCGCTTGGGGGAATGTTGGGTTTGTGTACATGGGAGCAGCTATGAGGATATGTTTTCTTGCGGGGGTTGGATTGGAGACGGAGAGGGGAAGACGAATTGCTGCCATGAAAGGAAAATGATCCTTTGTGCTCAACTTTATGCCTTCGAAATAAAAGCAATTGTCAAGTCTACGTTTCTCAAGGTAGGCAGGCCAACTAGTAAGATGTTGTCAATCATGAGTTCCAAATTCGAGTATACATATTTACCGATATTGGATTCTCCTTCTTGTACTGTATATTCTGTCTGCACATTCAATGTATTGACATTTGCTGACTTACGTTTTGAGGTCGCTGAGAATATGAAAAATGCACGTGATGTTTACTATCAAAGGCACACCTATCTTTAAAAAGGTTTCGTACTAGGCATCCGACCCCCTTTCCTTTACCTAGTTGTACACCATCCGTCAATATTTACTTCTCTCAATGCCATTGCCTACTCTCCTATTAGTCAGAAAACCCTCTGGAATTCCATAATCCTATGGAGTTCTAGAGCCTATTCGATGGACATCAGTGTTCCATTTATGAGGAGGTCTGGAAATATTCCATATGGAATGGAATCATGGAATCTACCTGGAATCTATGGAATCTATGGATCCTATGGAATCAAGTGTCATTTGCCGAACGCTGGGTATATTCTCTATGAACCGGTTCTTGAAGTCTCTATTGCAATACTATGTCTAATCGCGTCAGTTGCCATTGGTCAACATTCCATGCATGTGCAATCAAATCTGTTCTGACAGGGGCTCCAATCGGTACTGCATCGTGGCTGATCGCAGCTTACTCTAGGCACCTCGCAAGGCTGTGAGCAACACAAGATTGTCTATCTAGACGACATCTCATCGTTAGAAAGTAATGATTTTCCACAAAGTGAAACTGGTTGGCTAGCACAATCCCCTTCAGAGACGGTTCGACCGAAGATAAAAGCTATCATGACTACACAGTCAAGCAACGTCCAGTTGGCTCATAACGCTCAGTATGACTTTACCTCCCTCAATCTTGTTCTATCTCTGCTTTTTGTTGCAAGCGTGTTCAGGTCCAACTGAACTGGCTGCTAACTCTGTAGACCCTTAGATCTGTGGGCAAAGGCCTTGGAGAAGTTGAATGTACGGCACTTGCACTATTCCACACATACTTGGCCACAAGTGCTAATTTTATGTTAGGACGATGACAAGGCTCTGATCGTCTTGCGTCAAAATCGTCTTGACATTCTAGGTGACGTCCTATCTTTGGTAAGGCAAAAGGAGGTCGCCTGCCAGAAGAAGAGATGGAAGTGGAAGAACAGACAAGGAGAAACGATCATCATCCGGGATGTTTTGAAGAAAATTATCATCTGGGTTGAAAAAATCAAAGGCTAGTCCTTTTTAACTATGTCCTGATTACATATCATAGAGCTTGTCTTCTTGGTTCTGGCCTGACAGATTCTCTTGATATCTTTTTCAAGCCTCGGAACTGATTAACTTGAGTGTTTAGGAATCGGCGATACTATAGTTCAGTATGATCCAGGCCATGCGGCACTACCATGGGCAGCCGCTCGCTTTGTTCTTCAGGTCTGGAAGCTCTCAATTTACCTTCAATATCGGATTTTGAGTATTTCCAACGGAACTAGGCAACAATCAATGACATCCAGACCAACGCGGCCATGCTAGAAGGCCTTGAGATTGTCTTCAATCTGATAGCAAAACTTGAAGTGGTGGAACAGCTCTACCTCCCGAAACAAAACTGTCCTACATTCCCGTCTCACAAATACTATCATAATGCTATATGCCTCCATTTTGGAATTTCTTGTACAAGCCGGGCTATACTTTGAGCAGAAGACAAGCACGAGAATCGTCAAAAGCATTTTCCAGCTTGAAGAGGTAACGACAAAGTATGTAGCAGACATCAAAGGTAAATCAAATGAGGTGGAGGGGTATGTACGGCTCATCGTGGGTGAGAGTATCGGCCAGACGGAAAGCAAGCTTGGTTTGATTGAAGGAAATTTGGCGAAGTTAGACTTAACATTGCAAACACATAACGCCGCCGACCTCCAATCGAACAGAGCTGCCGACGAGAGACATCGGGGCTTACAGAAGATTTGGGAGGAATTGCATGAACCCATCACGCGAATCGCAAACCAACTTTCTTCGAGGGACGACAGCTTGAAAGAAACAGATCGATTAGCGATTTTCGATTGGTTGTCCCAGGTGCCTTCAGTCACCACCGCAGCAAAGTAAAGCTTCTCCTCCCCGGATCTGGAAAATGGCTACTTCGAAAACCGGAGTTCGTCAATTGGTTGAATGCCAGTGCCTCTTCCATTCTATGGCTGCATGGAATTCCAGGCTCTGGAAAAAGCATGCTTGTTGCACGAGTAATCGAGTACCTGAAACTCCGTACCTCAGCAGACCCCGACAACACTTCCCTGGCATACTTCTATTGTACACGCAACGCCAATGAACCTGAGAGAGCAGCCCCGGTTGAGATTCTTTGAAGTATTGTAGAGCAACTCTCGTGTTCTGCAGCAGATTTGCCAGTCAGACTCTGTGTTGTAGACTTGTACATGGAACGGAAAAAGGAGGCCAAAGGTCGTAGACCGGAGAAGCTCGAACTTGAGGATTGTGTCCAGATCATACTCAATCTTCTTGAGGACAACCCGGCAACGATAATCTTGGACGGCCTAGACGAATGTGATCCAACTCTCCGACAAGACCTCCTAGATGCTCTACGTACAATCATCCAAAAGGCAAGCAATGTGGTCAAAGCCTTTGTGAGTAGCAGAGATGACCATGACTTGGTTCATCGGTTATCACAGACGCCAAATCTGTATATACGGGCGTCGGACAACAAAGAAGACATTACAAATTTCGTGGTATCAGGCGTGGACGAGGCAATTCGGAAAGAGAAAATTTTATGTGGAAACGTTCCGAGCAGTCTAAGGGAGACAATTGTCAGCACACTGGTGTCTCAATCAAATGGGATGTTTCGACTGGTCAGTCTACATATTGACAGCCTCTGCAACCCAGACTGGATCAAGACAAGAGCAAATGTTCTAGAATCATTGAAGCACTTGCCTGTGGACTTGAAACGCTCACACGATACTATCCTTGAACGTGTCCAGCAATCTCAAGCTCCGAACCCAATGATAGCAGAGCGAACTTTAAAGTGGTTATTGTGCTCAAGAGAACAACTCGGATCTGACAGCTTTCTTATAGCCGTTCAGTCGGTATTTGACGACGACAGTATTCTGGGGATATCAGATATATTGAGCATTTGTTGCAACCTGGTGGTTTATGATTCTGAGACCGATCAATTTCGATTTGTTCACTTATCGGTACGAGAACACCTCGAGGGAAGCGAAAGCTATTCCACAACTGCCTCAAACGCGCTGGCTGCGGGAAGGTGTCTGTCATGGTTGCTCACAGCTGGACAGGTTGTGGGGGATAAGTGCCTCATTTGGGAGAACACGAAAGATTCTGCCTCCAGCCATTTTTCTGTGTCAAACACATCGCAGTTTTGGCAACACGCGGATACTTACTGGCCGGAATACGCACGCCTTGCCGGACAGCTGAGAAAGGAGGGTCATCTTAAAATGCTTCTGCGACAATTTCTCCTTCACGATTCTCGAGATTCGCAGCGTGATCGTCTTATATTCGGTGCTTGGGTCACTCGAACATCCCAAAAGTATTGGAAAAGCTATCATTACAGCCGGTCGTCCCCCGCCCTCTTACTCCATAGGAGATATTACTTTAGTAGCCTGCGTGTGGATCCTGCTAGTGATCCGCTAATTGTGGCTTGCACTTTCGACTTCTCTGAAATCGTCTCTGAGCTGATCAGCACCAAACCGTGGTCGCTGGTTGGCGGACACGCTGCGGTGGTATACCACAGTCATGACAGTCTTAAAGTTATCCTTCAGTCGGTTGGGCAGCAAGGGTTCGAAGCCCGGCACCTCACCAAATTAGTCGTCCAGGCCGCGTCTTTAGGCAACGAGAAACATCTCGAATTCATCATGTCCAAAATGGAAGATGGGGTTTTCACATCCGATGATCTCTACGAAGTGATCAAGGAAGTTTCTTTCGAACGCCTCCCGCTGGAAGAGACATCTCTCGAAATCCTCTTCAGGAATAACCCCAACCTCCAGATCACAGAAGACATCCCCAAACTCGCATTCGAAAGCTTCAACTACTGGCACGAACGCAAAACAGCACAGTCCACCGTCCACAAACTCCTCCAAATCCCCACGCTAGACATGGGACAAGTCCTGCAGATTTCCAAAATGACACGCGAGACCATGGATAACGACCTTCTGAGTAAAGAACGAGGAGAGTACTATCTCCATCTTCTATTGAAGAGGAATGCGAGGCTGACCGAGGGCGCCGTGAGAGTCCTTCTGGAATCTTGTCATGTGGATATGGTGGGTTTGGTGTTGAAGTATCAGAGTATCGATGTCGTGGATTGGGTTATTGCGGCTGCGGCAAGGAACATCAAGGATGGGGAGGGGATTATGGAGATGTTGTTGGAGAGAGAGTTGGAGACTCAGGAGTTGACATTGGCTACGATTGATACGTGAATTCCTAGAATAGGCTGTTCACCATGTTCGATCGATCGACAACTATATCGGGCTTCTAATACGAGGTTCTGCTACGATGGTAATGCTGGAACAAATTTCCTCATGATCAACTCAAGAACTCTACGTGAAATCTAAATCCTGAACCAAAATAGACGTAGCTCAGCATTGCAACGAAGTAATCCAACACCCAAACCCAGTGCTCATAGTTTTCACTTTACAACATACAACTCTGAGGATTTTAATGGACACAACTATTCAATATTAAGTAAAAAAGTATGTTCTAAAAGTATGTCTAACAATAATTGTAATCATAAGCTGAAGGAGTGGGATTGTTCGAGTACACAAGGTACTTAAACACATAGGTCTAGCGAGAAAAGTGTGCAAACGAGTGACTATTATCCCAGCACGTTACTCGTAGAAAGTTGGCCTCTGGTGTGAATATCTAACTTTGCAAAGGCCTTGAGATTTATTATATGAGCCTGGAAGCTGTCGTTGTCATTATTTATACCACGGGCTTTCAGTTCTAAGAGGAGGTATCAGGGACCGGATAAATGTCTCCAAGCCACTGTGACCGGTTTGCTGCTGGTCTGTCCTCCGGTTCAAGTGCCACCCCAAACCTAACGTTTCTTGCCAAATTAAACCATTTTTTCGTAAGCGACGCCCACTCAGGAGAGCAGCGCTTCGCATGCTTGTAGAGATACCTTGTATCCTCATTTACTCTAATCATCTGAGTTATTCGAGACATCGTTCCGGGCCCTGAGCTGATACCGCACTCAAGGATCCGAGCGCAGCAGCGGTCGAAAAGGGTTGTCCGACTTTCGCTTATTATATATTTTAGAGTGTCCCTTGCGAGGTCCATTTGATCTTCATCTCCGGAAGTCACTTGTGCGAAGCATTCTTGAAGCAATACCTGGGCCTCGTCTCCATCCTCTAGGAAACTATCGACATCATCGGTTGGATTTACTAGATACATTCGACAAATTTCCAAGGGCCGGCTGATGTCGTCCAGAAGCGCGGCCGTGCTCTTTCGAGAATCAAGTAAATCTGCAAGCTCGTTCAGGAAAACCCTCGTACCACGATTCTAGATCAAAAGATTTCGGCGCTGTGTCTGGAATGGTGATGGTATTTGGGAAGCCGAGTCCTTCAAATCCACGATGGACATTACGGATATCTCATGTGCTGCAACCGCGTTTGTGAGGAATGGGAAATGACTCTTTAGATTCTTTCCCTTTGACATGATTTCCATTACATCGTTAAAATAGATTCCATTAAATCTGAGTGCTGAGCGGACCAAAACTCGTCACGCGCGATAGTTTGACTAAGAAAGCCCTGTCCCCATATCAATGGGCGTTTCTCTTCCTGCGAACGAGTTACTATAGTTACTTTTGCATAAAAGTATGGAGGCCCAGATATAAATACCGGTGTGAGCTCCGTTAGCCTTTGTAACTCCTCCGCCAAGGCGGTTAGGGCATCCTTAGTTTCGGTCCAGCCTCTAGGTTCCAGAAAATAAGACATTTCGTTTCCTCGGGAGTCTTTGACGGTGCGTATCTTGAATGAGAGTTTCATCGCAATGTTGGCTTCAAATACATTCCTAAGGCCATATTGTCTGACGGCAGATTCCTAAGCGAGATGAGTACAAGGCATTCGAAAGCGACGGATATGAAAACCGACCCAGAACTCCTCTTGTTGTAACTGTTCTAGCATATAAACCTTGATGTATGAAATTGTTTTGTATTTGGTTAGTGGAGGGCGCAGAAGTACTAATTCGGGACTGTCCTTGTTGAAGTTGTTGATATTTGGCCATCCAGAGGTTTCAGATCCGAAATATCCGCCACCTTGGCGATCTATAACTTTCAAAATGGAATGGGAAGATCCACCAAAGACCTTATCAATCCATCAGCCATGTTGAGAGGAAGCTAGAGTATGAGAACTTACCGATGACTCCCACTCTGATCCACGTTCACCAACTGGTAGGCCCTCCAGGAAGTAATACTGTTCACCCTTCGCCGGCATGGCGGATGGGGCTGACCAGGCAAAAGCCATGACATGCATGAGTTCGTGGACTAAGGTCGCTGCCACATTATGCTGTTGGCCAAGTACCTCAAATTCTGGTAGTAATTGGGGGTTGTGACGAAAAAGACCTTCCATACCACCCACCGACACCCAGACTGCCATTCTTCGAAGAACATTATCTGCTATAGTATACTTGTCAAATAATGGCTTAGTAAACCCATGAACAATACCCCGCTGTAAATTTGGATCAGGTTGGTCCGTCACAGGGTTTTGATCTCCATTCATGAAGCCGAACGTATACGGATAGCTCCAAAGCAGTTTGTCTCGACGGCTCTGGATTTCATTTTCCCACGTCGCCGGATCCGGGGGGTTTCTATCATGTTTTATAACGAAGAGATCAGGTTTATCGCCTCCGAACCCTGTTCTTATTAAAGCCTTATTCACCTTCGACAGTTTTCCTCCTATGGAGTGTTTGAGCTGCGTCTTTATTAGCTTCATATAACAAAATGCGGGTGTTAACCTACGTGTTGCAAGGTCTGTGAACTCATCAAGAGCCTCTGTGCAAGCCGTAAACACGGTTCTAGGACCTTCCACACGTGCGGATTATTGGCTTCCCACCTGCCGTCATACGGCAGCGGGTAATTGACGTTCATAGGGTACGTGTTTTTACGTACATTACTCTCGTATTGTTTATAGATCTTAAAGGTCTCCCGAGTTTCCAATTTCCTTTTGGCCAAGGTTGGACCGATGGGATTTCGAAGATTTGGAAGGTTCAATTTTCTATCACTATTTACATTCACTGTGAAAATGGAAGTTAGCTCCACCCATAGCAAAATACGTTTTCGCCAATGTGATATTTGTTACTCTGGTCTACCCACAATCAATCAATTCCTGTGTTGTAAGCCCACCCAACCTGTTTTTCTGCCACTCTATTCTCTCTATATCCTTTTGATTTGCTTTCCTTTCCTTTTTCGTTCGTAAGATCTTCGGAAAACTGAGAGGAACTGGAGCAAAGTCCTCTTGATAGGTGGCATTGTAATCGATGGGCGGCATCTTGAGGAACCAAACCAAGGGTAAAACTCGTGGATCTATCACTTAATCCTAACGATCCAGCCAATATTCTTAGTACTGTGACGCGTATGTTCTGAATCAAAGTGAAGAGAAAGTTGGAAATTGAGGTGTGACACCAAGAGGAAGAAAATAACAAAGGATATGAGTGGCGTCTTTGTTGATGGAATTAAGATACAAAGCTCGCCCAAGAAACCAACAAAGCCGGAAAAGCTACGAATATGTGACACTGCGACTACGTGAGGAATGTAGAGCTAGCGACTGTTCTGCTTCTTACTGTGTTAATTCGAAGAAGAAACTAGTTTTCGACAGTAGTAAAGCCTTTCCTACTTTCATCACTTATTAGATCTCTAGGTACTAGTATATAGCGTAATAAAAAACTACTCAACTACTCGAGTAGTACTCGAGTATAATAAAGTAGAGTAGCGGATTCTACTAACTAAGTTATAATAAGTACTAAGTTTAACTACTTAATCTTAGTATAAGAGCCTCTATCCAAGGGACGAGGAATAAATCTATATCGAGACGAGAGGATTATACTAGATTATTAACTACTTAAGTACTACTTAAATAGTAACGTGACTTTGACACTTCCAGCTCTCTATAAGGACCTAGGGCTCTACACCTGGTCCTCAAAGCCTAAATCTCTCCAGCTACCTAGAGAGGTCCTCGCTCGCTTAATTGCTGCTCGTTCTGGACATGGAGACTTTACGGCTTACCATCTTCGCTACTTTCACTTCGACCCGCTACTTGAGTCAGGGAATTGTAAGTGTAAGAAGGCTAAGACCCAGTTCCACCTACTCTTCTGCAAGCTAGCAAACAACAAAGACCCTAAGCTTTTAGCTAAGGCCAAGAAGAACCCCCAGCTGCTCTTTGGACATCACTGCGAGAAGCTTTTTAGCCTGGTCTACTTTAAGACCAAATTCTACACCAAAATCTGTCTCTAGTTAGACACGCCTCCCTTTCTTTCCCTTCTCGTTTAATTATATATCTCCTTTGTCTTACCCTGGTTCTAAAACTAATTAAGGATAAGGGCTGTTCCGGAAGTGGAACTTCTCTTTAAATTGTCTCTTGTAAATCAGCTCATTCGTTTACACCCCCTGTAGCCTAGGGCACCCCCCTAGCGTCATTTGCCCTGTTTTGGGACTCTTCTAGGACCTAGTCCACGCGAGCTAGAATCCGCCTGACGTTAAATAGTAATAAATAAATAAATATATATAAATAAAAGTAACGTGACTAATTTATAAAGTAATTATTCTTAAATAATAGCTCTCTTATCTCCTATTTCTTATCTTTTTCTATATAAAAGTCCCTCCTCTTGCTATATAAGCTAGCGTTTTCTATTAAAATAAACGAGGTAATCGACTCGAAAGCGCTTAGGTATACTATTACTTAAAGCTTATACAAGGGGCCGTTAAGTCCGGGGTATCGGACCGACTAGCGGAGGCTCGGCCTAATTTACTCCGTACTACTCGAGTAGTACTTAAGTAATAAAAATAGTATATACGCGCTATCCCTTTAGCTACGGCTAGAAACACCTTTCTCGTACCCTCGTAGAGGGTAGAACACTAACTTTTTTAGTATCTTTAATTATATATTATTCTACTTCTACCACGTATAAAAATATACGAATAGATACAAAAGATAGAGGGACTCGCCATCTAGAAATTCACCTATAAAATATTCTAGAATATAAGAAGGCTACTACTATAATTGTACGAAATCACCTTACTAGTAGAAATATATATAAAAAGGGGTATATTAGACGTTATATAAATAACAAGTAAGGAGACATAGTATAGTATTAAATCACCTTTGTTTATAATAGATATAACGCCTATTTATATAAAAAGGCCTTGTTTCCGTGGCTTTCATTAATCATAGAACATTTTACACCCAAAACTCGTGAAAGTATCGGGTCTTATTAGATCGTTTAATATTCTTGGCAGTGGATCGTAAAAAGGTGTTTCTGGCCGTAGTTGAAGGGATAAAACCTAGGTCCAATTAACGCTTCTCTATAGAATTAGTACTCTAACCTAACTAACTCCTGGCGAGTAGTTTATTTCAGAGTAGGGCTGAAAACCCTACTTAAGTAGGGTTAAGTATAGGTAGGTGCTCCTACTCGACTCGACTCTACTGATTTCTTAACGCTAACTAGGTAGGTAAAGATATGATTAATAGCTAGAAAAGGACTGGACGTGTATACGAGATTACTCAGTGTAACGGTTGTTACGCGAGAAGATTCTTATTGCTTCTTGAAGCAGTCCCTCTTGAGAATATCCAAATTATTATGCTCGAGGGATCCACTGATGGGTTGCTTATGTGATTCGTGATGGAACGACAATACAGCCTATTGAAGACCTCTTAACCAAGATAGGTTTCTTATTTGACAGGAGAAAGTACACACCCGGCACGGTCATGGTAGAGCTATATGAATATATATTAATTTTAACTGAAAGTGAGGTAGACTCAGCATCGAGTCCAACGACGTATTTCCCTTAATTTGAAGGAGTGACAACCGTGACCTATGTTAACGCTCCCCTTTCCAGTGAGGTATTATTTAAAAAATTATATGGACGAGTACAAAAGATTTGTACAAACAAAGCAAAAGCCGCTCAAGTGAAAAACCCCACGCTGAATCCACAACCAACAATATGTCGGTAAGAAACCGATATGTAGCGACTTATTATGCCCCTCCGTTGCCGCTCAAGATATTTTCTTGGCTCTCTTCTTCGCAACGTCAATCTTACCCTTGACCCGATCAACATGAGCATCTTGCGTTTGGAGGAGAGTATTATGATACTCCAATTCCTCGTGAATCTGGACCCCCATTTCCCTCTGCCTCCTCACAATCTTGGCCAATTCCTCCACATCCACATCCTGATCCCTCATCATCTCCCTTTGCAATTGTAGAACTTGTTCATTATCCAGCTCCCTCGTCTTCGCCGTTTCCGGTACAGGAACACCCAGCACTCTTCCCGTCGGCCTACTCACCCCGGGACCAAAAAGCTGACTCTTGTCCTGCGCACTGGCTGCAACCGAAGAATTCGCATTCGCAGAGCTATTGTTCTTAACAGCAAGCTTAACAGCCAACTGTTCCAGGCCTTCCAATTCATTCCTCGAACTCCTCAGCAGATCCCCCCGCCGTCTCAGCTCCCCACCCCCCACCTTTCCACTCTCCCCCCTCCTCTCCTGCTCCCCCATAATCTTAAGTCCATCCTCCAGATTAGATAGCAAGCCTTTAGCTTTCACCAAACACCTCTTAGCATTAGCCGCCGCCTCATGTTGACTTTGCGCATTCGTCGCCTGATCCCGGGCCCCTAACCACTTCCTACTATCCTGCAAAAGGCTCTTCATCTCCCGATGTAAATCCAACCAGATATGTGGATCACTCGCCGTCTGTCCGCCATCCTTGCCTAGACCTCGCTGTCGCGCAGCTACCAGCTCTCCTCGCGCGCTACTTCCGCTCCCACTACTGGAAGGAAGATTGAGGAAAGTTCGCCAGAGTGAGGTATCGCGCCATCTGCGGTCGGGTCCTTCGGCTATGGCTCTCAAGTAGGCTTCGAGGCCTTGACGTCGGGATTCTGTGAGTTCGGGTGAAGAGATGGTGGATTTAAACCAGGATTTCTTGGGTAATGGTGCGGGAGGAGGGGCGGTGACGAGGGCAGTGAGAGAGTTGTGTAGAGCGACAAAGTCATTATACCGTTTCTGGACGACGAAGGTGCGGAGAGGGAGACGAAGGGTTATGTTGTAGAGTGTGTATGGTTTGTTATCTGGGTCGTTGGACAGGATGGTAGAAGGTATCGAGATCTCGAGAGGCGGAGCCATGATCGGGGCAATTTGCGCGATGCTATGCTGCGGTAGATTTAAGAAAGGAAGTTAGATTCAATGAGAGGAAAATGTCGGATGGCTGGAGAGAATTCAGTGGTTGTTTGGATTACGGGTTGAGGTCGTATTTATGACATGGGTGCTCCAAGTAGTAGTACTGTAGGTATAGTAGCCTTGTCAGTTTGTCCACCGTGAATGGTTGCTGGCTGATACGAATAGCGGCGATCCTTCTTGGTAGGAAACGAAACTTAGTAAGTTACAAATTTTTCGCTATCTGGGGGAATTGATGACGTCAATGTATCTTGTTCATGCTTTCGTCTCTGATTAAATCTTTCTTCAACACTTTTCCGTGCTTTTTTGGGGGGTGCGCACGCGAGGCCAACTGCTCTTTATCTAGATACAGTATTGGTATGGATTGCTTGGCATAAGGCTGTACGCGGCCATGACCCATCTCCTCCGAATTAGGAAACGGAAAATACTCCAAGAACAGTGAGAAGTATGAAATCCAAAAGCTATCACAGAGAGCACGAGTAACGAAAGGATGACTGGAGTAGACTGCCATCTTGTATTATAATCCTCGTCGAATTTGTGTTTGATAGCTATCCCTACCCTACCATATGCAGAAGAGAAATCCCTCCCACTGTAAAAACCCCCGCACCAACAACCTCCTCGTCTGAGACGACGACGAGCGAGTGAGTGCCCAACTTCATTACTTATGCCAGGAAAGGCGTATTCTTCTCGATGCCCTCCAGCAATCCTCCAGCCCCAATTTTTGCAATCTCCCCTTCCCTCCACTCGCCAATCATAGATATCATCAAGCAAAATACGAAGAAGAGAAAAGAAACGGGGGAATATGGTTTAAAAAGTCTCCTGGTCGTCGACCTCCGCCTCGGCCGGAATCTCGAATCCCTCCTCTGTCGAATACAAGATGGCCTGGATGTGCTTAATTAAGCCATCCTCCTGTCTCTCAATCTCGGGGTCCTCCTCACAAGCCTGCTGAACAAGTAACTCGATGTCGCGGAGTTTGCTGAAGTAGAAATCGCGTTCCCGCTCCAGGCCTTGTACCGTATCCTTCAAAGTTTCATTCTCCTTGGCCAGGGCTGAACCCGAGGCACCACCCATCTTTCCTACGACTCGCCCACCGGTTGTTGGGGTTGTACCACGCTTTGCTGCCGCCGTGGTTCGAGGAGCCGGGGCTGATGATGGGGGTGGTGCACCGGATCCTCGTCTTCGAGCAACGGCATCGTAGTCGCCACCTGGAAAGTATTGGTCCCAATATCTCTTACTCCATTGCAAGAACTCAAGGTTGTCTTGCATCTTGCACTTGATCAGTTGCTCAACATTGACGGGTCGGTCGATGCCATGTCGGGTGAAGCAGTCTGGAGAAAGGGGGAAATGGTCAGTTGTTTATCCCTTCTTTATTCTATGGCCTGGCGGACTCACTTTGAAGGATCTTGAAGTTTTGTAGGTACGCATATTCAGTGTTGACGCTAAACTTAACTCGGGACATTGGCACATCAAGGTAGATACTGTCAAAGACCTGGCACAAGGCAGCTCTGCGAAAGTTCGTCGTTAGTCTTCAGCCTTGCTTCTAGATCGTCTGGTATCATATCGCGAAGGGGAGATTGGGTGCGCGCTAGAATAGTGTTGTCCTTACCCAGTTCCACATTGTTCAACCTTGGTAATGTTGAGTTGGAGGAGGTTATTGAGCCATGCCACCAGTTCTTGTCTGAAAAGAGCGTATTGTCAGCTCAATGATCCTAATATGCTAGCCCAAGGAACCAACAGTTGAAAACAAGCGGGGTTACGCACCTAGATTCTCCCATCTTGAAAGGGGTTTAGTGTTGTGCGAGATCCGTTGACGGGAAGTCTATGGTACAGTCGGTGTGGACGTGCAGTCGGTAGGTATGGATCGGATCTTATCGTAGATGGAGGGGATTGTTGTGATTGATTGTTTTTGCCTGGACTGTTTTTGCGGGTGCCCAGGTCTGAAGCGGTCATCGGCGTGTTGATGAAGGTTGCAGGTGCAAGGTCAGGGATTTGCCCTCATTGACTTGCCGAAATCATCCCAATCTGGGGGGTGGCCGTGTTTTGCACCGCTGGTTCGCGTCTGCATCTGTCACCAGGGCAGCCGACCACACCAACCTCTCATTGGCGGGCCTTATATCCGAAATATCTCTTTTATCCAAAATATCTCTTTTATCCGAAATATCTCTTTTATCCGAAAGTTTCTCCTGGTGAATGACTGCACATCCTCAAGAACCACAATACATTAAAAGAAAGTCCATATTCTATTACCTGGTACTTTATCTGTCGTCATTGTCTAAATTTAAAACAACAATAATAAAATACTACTGCGCTAGTTGTATTGTCTGAGTCTATTAGAGTGATCCAGTTAATTCCCCAAGCTCTTGGTTCATAATATCATTATTCCTGCACCCACAGAACAAGGAGCAACGCTGTGTTGTTTGCAAGCGCAAGGCAAGTGAGGATGAGATTCTCCAGCCCATGAAAGGCTTTGAACAATGTTTTGAACAATGTTCAATAGACTATATTCCATTATATGAAATTTCAAGCTTGCTATCAATCTCCCCCTTCAGTCTTGAACGGGCTCGATTTTTCCGATTTTGTTATATAAGACAAAACAAAAAATGCTGTTCTGAATTGAATAGAAACTCTAAGCTATCTTTGTTGATACGACTGTACAGGTTTGTTCTCTCTCTCTCTCTCTCAAAGTGTGACACAAAGTAAGCGCGCTGATTCTCGATTGTATTCTGTGTCCTCCTCCTATCTACAATTGCTTCGGACGATGGGTAAAAGAGTGTGGGTGTCTGATACGAAACACGTATCAGATGCGTGGGGAAAAACGTGACATAGGAAAACGTGACCTGCACCGCTGAAAACCCGAATGCCAGCATTCCAACAATTCTAGTATTCCCAAC